AAGGCCATAAAGAAGTTTCACTTCTTACGTGTGTACACTAGTACACGCACACATTTTTTATTATTCTTATCACTTTCAATCATAATGATAGAGAGTGATGAAATCATATGATATAATCATGATAAGGATACAATATCATGGCCCAATCTCCCTATTCTATCCACAGCCTGTGCCCCAGCAGTGGGGACGGGAGCTGATAATGATGATTAAGGATACAGTATTTACTGTCAAATTAAGTTTAAGGTTTAAGTATAGAATAAAATGCCAAGAAAAGGTACACTATGTTGTAGATATTATGTAAAATATTACACTATATGTATGTTGAATATTATTAATTACTTGTATCAAGTAATTCTGATAATTGTGCACAAATGCCAACTATGTATAATTCATTATTTTGTTACAATTTGATTAGAGACTGAATTGTATAGATAGCTAAAATGTATATAATATATTAATAAATGTATGGTATATTATTCTCAGTGGATTTTTTATTTCATGTTATCATACCCGACAGAAATATAAAATGGTACTTTACTGCAGCGGCCAGCAACATACGTCAGTCTTTGATTAAAACAAAAAGGAAAGATACGGTACGCTCATACTAGCAATAATTAAAATATGCTTTGACTCAACTACATAAGCAACTCTCACACGCACGCTTCTGTAAATAAAAATTCAATCGAGCGAGCGAGACAGTCCGCGACGCTTTGCAGCCGAGTGAGCTGTATTGTTGTCGTTTTCTTGATAACAAATGGCGAATCAGTAACTAACATTCCATGGCAAACCATGATTTATTAGATTTTTTTTTATAGTTTTTCGAATGAAAATTGTTGCCGTGGCATTTGTTATTTAATCTTGAACTATTTGGGTTCTTTGTAAAAGCATAGAAGGCATTGTTTTATCGTTATAACACAGAATGTACGCTATTATATTGAGAGAACATGCATCGTGCTGGATGTCCAATTGTGACTAAAACGAGTTGTAGTCATGCACCACAATTTAAGCGGTTCACTTTTGAGCCTCTTGTGCCGTATCTTCCTTTTTTGATTTAAACTAAGACGTCAGTCCATCAATGTCTAGTTCTGTTCCCCTAGCACGAACCAATATCGAATTCGTATCATTTGCGAGTCCGAAATGTCATTGTCAAATGTGTACTGAATTTTAGTTCTCGTTACGTACTTTGTGCCGCTGCTGTTCAAGTTTCCATACAAAATTTGACATTGACATTACGGTTTGCAAACTATTCGAATTCGATAATGGTTCGTGCTAGGGGTACTGGCCAAGGCTTGTATAGTATTTTTCTCAAATAATGGGCGGAAATAAACTAAGTAGTAGGTACCTAGGCAGACCTTATTTTAATTTTAAATACAATTATTTGCTTTTCAAAATCAATGAAGAATAACAAGTAATAACAACACGCATTCATTTCTTTTCTTTTTAATAAACCGCTTTCTATTTGCAATTCAGTTCAAAAATATTATACCTTTGATAAGTTACCTCCTTGGTTGCTATATTTCGGAGTAAAAGATCGTTCTATATGTAATTTATTTGGCCGCTAAACACGATAGATATGGATTTTCATACAACTTGTCACCCAGTTGGAAATAAAGCGTCCAGGGACCCAGGACCCACTTAAATGCAGACACAAACTTTTGTCGGAATTGTAATACTACAGTTAAATAGTAATAACTTGTATAGGTATACGAGTATTTATAAATAGTCTGTCAATCAAATTAATTTGCTGATTCATTTATTTTCCCTTTTTATCTAAAAACACTGGGGAATAAAAGCGTAGTTTTATTAAAAGTGTCTTTTCCGCAGGGGACAAGAGTGTCTCTGAGGAATCTATACTTAATATAAAAATGAATCGCTGAATGTGTTGCTAATCGCAAATCTCGAGAACAGCTGAACCGATTTCGATTTTCTTCTTCTGAATTCTTTTTTTAGAATATTCCTTGAAGTACGAGCATGGTTCTTACGCAGAGAAAAAATAAAAAAAAATGCCTGAAAATGTCCAAAAACAACACTTTTCTATACTCCCATACAAACGATTCTTAATAATACTTAAAAGTTAATTTGAGCTTTGATACCATTCCATATATTTTAAATGTTAGTGGAGAGATTCTGGGAAAGCAAAACAATTGAGCGACATGATGTCAATAGAAGTTTGGAAAAGGCAAATATACCATTTTCAGTTTTTTTATAATTACTTAAGAGTAAGTAATTTAAATGACTCTTCATATATGAAGAGTCATTTAAATCCACACTACAGCTCTACACCTAAGCGAAGCGAGGGCGGGCCACTAGTAAAACAATAAAAGAATGTCTACTGTTAGATTTTAGTGTAATTTCATGACGTTTTATTTTTCAGAGGCCCAAACACTAATTATGCCGCTATTACACTTGGTTGATAGTCCGAATACGAGTGCCAAATGAATTCGTGTAAACGAATAATGTAAACAAACGGAGTCGAGTACGCCCGTATGCGGGTAGTTTTCTTTTTGGTTACCCGACACCGTCTTCCAGCCCGTATACCATTGTAATTGCTACGGGTGCCCGAATTCGAATAATGTCTTTCGTGCAGATCGAATATAGGCAAGTTTTCAGGGCGGTTTCCGCACTTAGTCGTAATTAATTACGACTAAGTGCGGAAGTTACTGTTACTGATGGCCGCTGGGGGGCACAGTCTCTCCTGCGCCGCCTTAAATCCGACTCTGGGGATCGTCACCGTTTCAACTCGAGGCGGTCAGTATTCTTAAGACTCCAACTTGACATTTTCAAAGTCATGTCAGTGTCTCATTACAGAATTCCCCAAAAAAGTAACTATGGAGTTCCAAAAATCAAGAAAGCGCTTCGATTAAAAATATACTGATGACAAGTGAAGTCTGCAATTTCTATCTGTATTCAGGGGCTTGACAAATCATTTTTTTGCGAAAGTATAAATAAGGTAAGTTATTTGAAATATCTGAAAAATGTATAAGATGTGTTCAAATCAAAATTTGGATTACATCCCTCGTCTAGATGGATGGCAACGGGCAAGGTCGCCTTGGTTGGTACGCTGGATTAGGTACATCCGTCTGGAATAGGTCTAGGTAAGGCTAAAGGGAAAATATTTTGAAAAGGATAAATTATCTCATGTTTAATTTCTGCTGTCTTCATCTCGAGCATTGTGCGACAGGAAAAACACTGCCCTGCCTTAAATACGACCCTGAGAATCGTCACCGATTCAACTCGAGGCGAGTACTTCCGCTGAGAGTGCGTTGCAAAAGGGTGTTTCATACGTTTGTATCACATATTTGTGCAACTTAAGATATTATTGTTTTTGTACTATCTGTGGCATACAATAAAGAATCGTAATGTAGGAAATCGCCTCACGAAGAAACACGAGCTTGTCCAGTGGCGAGGCGATTATGTGACGATTCCGGTTAGGGGCCATCCATAAAGGACGTCATACGTTACTAGAGAGGGAGGGGGTCGACGGAGTGTGACATTGTTTAACAAGGGGTGGGCGGGGTCCTAAGTTTCGTGACGTCATATTTCAAAATATAATATCTTCTTTTGAACTATTATCAAAAACTAACAAACCAGTGAACCAAATGTTCACCAAAACGCGATTAAAAAAAAAAAAAAGTTCTTAATTCAGAACTTCGGAGATTTTGTGTGGTTTCGTTTGAAATTCGTGATTTCTCGTAAACCGGAAGTGCTACGTTACTAAAATCCGGTTTGTAGTCTTATCAGACTATTCTTAACTTATAACTTAAATATTCTCTTTATCTATCTCTTAAGGTTTGGCCGCTGAAACAGCACCACAGACGGACGGACGGACTTGTCTAATAGTTAAGAGATCTTTAAAATATGTAGCTATCTCTATCTGTATGGGGTTTAATTTGTTCTTTTTGGCTAATTTTCGGAACTTATTTCGCAACTGCTGTATTAGTATTAAATTACTAAGTTCAAGATAGCAAATATGTGACGTCCCACTAGGGTTGGTGAGTCCCCCTCCCTAGGGGGACGTCACAAATGTGACCAACAAGGATGGGGGGTTAAAGAATCACGATTTAGTGTGACGTAGGTATTTTATGGGTGACCCCTTAGTGTGCGTTGCAGTAGGTAGGGAGTTTCATACAAAGAATATTGTACCCTTAGCACGAACCAATATCGAATTCGAATCGTTTGTGAGTCATAATTGTCATTGTCAAATGTGTATTGATTTTTAGTTCTGGTTACGTCCTTTGTGACGCTGCTGTAAAAGTTTCCATACAAAATTTGAGAATGACATTTCGCACTCGCAAACTATTGGAATTCGATATTGGTTCTTGCTAAGGGTACTGAACGGCTCGAGTTGATACGTTGACGATCCCTTTACGAGTTGATATGTCTGCTACGACCTTCATTGAAATTGGTGCAGTCGTTTTGAAGTAATAATAATAATATTCTTTATTGACGTACACCTCATAGGACATACCTAAAGACATTAAACATGACAGTGAAAACAAGTAATGCGCGTTCATAATTTTACGTAATTTCTAAAATATAAGCACTTTGTTTATTTGTGCCGTCAGTTTCTATACGTGGTTTTATACAGGGTGTAAAAAAACCTATTACGAAGTCAAAGGCCACGTATTTTCCACATTATGACGATCATTTTTTTCTTCTGGACCATACCTGGGAAATTAATGGTTATGGAGATATTGAAGATCAAAGCCAAAATATTTTTTTCAAGATTTATACATTAATATTTTCAAAACGTTATTCAGAAACTTTTTTATCGACGCACTTACACACACGCACACTCATACACACATTCTTTGCGTAGCGCCACAGTAGCGCGTACATTGCGTACTGGAAAAAAAAAGTATTTTTTAATTTAAAAATACAAATTTTTCCCACCTATAATATTTTGTAATATGACTTGTTTGGTTATACAGAATGCGTAGTTGTAGTCTTTGTCATAGGTTTTTTTACACCCTGTATTTATAAAGCGCTTTTGCAATAAAATAACATTAACTAATTTCTTTGATTAATTACACCATACCTAGCTGAGTATAGGTACTATTTTATACATATTTTGTTACATAATTTCTTTAACCTGTCAGACTTTTTAATGATTGCTTATCTTTTGTGATATAATAATATTACCTGCGTTTATTTAAACTGATACCTCAAACTCTGATATGTCACGTAGAAATGAAAACAACAAAATAAACCTTATTTCAAAGGAATAAAGAAATAAAAAACCAAATGAGAAACGATAAAAACATTAATTAGTATAAAAACAAACGGTTCCATTTGAAAAACGGTAATTTTAAGTAGTTTGTCTGTGGAAATGGGCGGTTTTGGCGCGCTTTTACTTTTCTCCATATTTGGCGCGAGTCTTGGCACAGATAGCGTAAATATTGTCAAAACGAAATATGGCGAAGTTGAAGGCAGTTTGGCATCAAACGGAGTGTGTTATGAATATTTGGGCATCCGATACGCGCTCCCTGTGAAGTTTAAAGTGAGTAAATGGTTTGCTTTAAATTCATTGTATAAGCATTTATCTGATAGATGTTTAAATCTAAAGTAAATTTTACTAGAAATCAATTTCACGGAATCCAGACAGCAGACGGGACTCGATCGGCGTCCGGCGGATGCACTGACCAATTAAGGCTAAGCTACGGCGACCATAGTGTCGACTTTCTTTTAAGGCTGTAAGGCAGCGCCATCTCTTCGCATTGTAGGTAAACTACAATGACAAACGAAATACCTTTACATCTATTTGAAAGAAGAAGTAAATAGCGTAACTAACAATTATTTATTTGGAGGGTAACTTGGCGAAGGCTGACACGTTACTAGCGTCTCACGCGACAGTATATATATGAGTGATGCGTGCGCTGCTCCATTCCCCTATGCCTTATGCACCGCCTAATATTAGGTTATTTAGGAAAGAAGTTTCACTTCAGATGTGTGGTCCGTGCACACTAATATTTTTCTTTTGCCAGTCAACCAAAAAATTAAAAAGTTATAACGCGTCAATATTTTGGGAGTGGGGGGGGGGGACTCGTGTTGTCACTTCTAAGTAAAAATTGTACCAAGACCACGAAGCTATATATCTGATATCTTCATGACATAACTTACTCGTGAAGTCATGCGACATTTCAAATCAATATATATTTTTCTATGTAATGTTTTGATATGTAATGTTTTGGGTATGTGAATAAAAAAAAAATACATGCCCAATACTTTTTGATAATCTACCTGATTAGCGAAGAAACACAAGTTTAATCATCATCCCTATTAGTTAAATATGCAGGCCTAATATTTTAAAAATAAAATCATTGTAACAATATTTTTTGTAGACTTACTTTTTCGTTAAAATTAAAAAAAAATTGTGCAAGATAATGGATATAACTGATCGTCCAGTTACCACAAAACATAAAAGTGCAATAGCTTTTCAACTTTCTTGACAACTTATTTATTATTGCTGTTAAAAATAAACAAAAGAAGCAAAATGTTGACTATTCTTATCTCAATTGTAATACCCAACACCCATTAGAAATAACCTCATTTTTATTTGCAGTCTCCCAAGGAGCCGCCGTCACACTCCGATGTGTACAAAGCCGATGGCAGAGCAGTGATATGCCCCCAGTTCCCTTGCAATGATCCGCTCGCAGTCCCCAGCGACAACGAAGATTGTCTAGTTCTCAACGTCTTCACCCCAAGCAGCGTCCAAAATACAACCCTTCCAGTTATTGTATTCCTTCACGGAGGAGGTTTCGGCGTCGGTACTGGTAGCCCTAGCATTTATGGGCCCCAATACCTCGTCAGCCACGACGTCATAGTAGTCACTATAAACTACAGGTTAAACGCATACGGTTTCCTGAATTTAGGAATCAAAGAAGCGCCTGGAAACGCTGGCTTGAAAGACATCAGAGCAGCTCTGCGATGGATCCAAGAGAACATCGGAGGTTTTAACGGCGATCCTGATAATGTTACTGTTCTGGGTCAAGGTAGCGGGGGGATAGCAGCTCTGTATTTGACCCTCTCAAAGTCTACCAAGGGTTTGTTCCACAAAATCATATCGGAAAGCGGGCCTTTATTCGCACCTCAATCATTCGATGCTAACCCGTTAAAGACTGCGAGTCAAGTGGCCAAATCTTTAGAGCTAATCTCTACAGATCCGAAAGACCTGTTAACTTTATACACTGAGACGTCCGTATTGAAGCTAGAAGAAGCAATATCCAAGCAGATGAACGCTAAATCCATCTTCGTACCATCAGTCGAAGAAGTATTTGAAGATGATGAAGATGAACCGTTTTTAACTGATACACCGTTTAATATTCTGAGTAAAGGTATAAAACACGAGAGTTTCAATCCTGTTCCTATTATCGTAGGTCTGAATACTGTCGAAGGTTTGACCAGTACACTGGATTATTATACGATTACAAGTCAAATGGATCGGATTAAACATGAGGATTTTAGCGTGTTGGACCAGAGAAGTCTTTTAGTACCAGAAAAGGAAAAAGACAACTTCCGAAAGACTTTAAAAGACACGTATTTTGCTGATATCGATTCCGACGAGACTTTGATCGGCGGCATTATAAATTTGAACTCGGACTTTTCGTATGTAGGTCCGATGTCGCTTTGCAGCGAGTTTTATGCGAACAGTTCGGGTCTACCAGTATACCAATACGTGTTCAATTACATTGGTAACAGGAATTTAGGTAGACTCTTGACGAACAGCAGTTTACCAGCTACTGCCAATCAGGATGAGCTCTTCTACGTGTTTGAACTGGAACGACTGCCCCTGCCTATGGATGAGGATGACGCGAGAATGTTGACTTTTATGACCATGATGTGGACTAACTTCGCCAAATTTGGGTGAGTTTTCAATGGTTTTGTCATTTAGAGAGATGAGATGAAAGAAAATAATTCTTATAAACACGCTTTTTTATAGTTACCCCACTGATATTAAGTGTAAGTGGGGTACATTTGTAAAGATAGCTAATGGGGCAAAATAGCTGCTGCAGTAATACTCACGTTACTGGCCTGAAACTTATCCCATAGTACCTGCCCCATGGAGGCCTGGATGGTACTGGAATCATATTTCACCAACAGAAACGGCTGTTTCTGTCACATTTCTGTTTTTTCTGCAGCTTTCTTTCATAAATATTTTGTAAGTAGCTGACCATCAAAAAGATGAGTGACTATTTAGATAATTGAGAAGTATTATGAGAGAATCGCCTATACCATTATAAATTAAATATATAAAACTATTTAAAATAAAATTTCGTCAAATTACAAAAATCGCTATGAACTAAAACTTCTTTATCCACAGAACTCCAACTCCAGACCCTGACAACGGGGAGTGGCTGCCGTATCCCCACCATTTGGCCATAGACTTGGAGCCTCAATACGTTTCGCCGCTGACACCTGAGAGGGCGTACTTTTGGCGCGCTTTCTATCTCGATTTTGGCGCCGAAATAGAAAAGAAGCGGGAAACGCCGTCGTGAATCTTGTACGACTTGTAAAAGTTGAATGTTGTTAATTTATTTTTAATTTTATTATGTAAAAGCTGGTTGTTAATAATAGTATTTTTAAAGGATAATTTGTATTTCTTTCATTAATTTTCGTATTAAATATGCTGCGGTAGATCACATTATTAGGAGTAGAGGAGAAATTAAGGATGACTTACGCTAGATCGTGCGGGGCCCGAGCCGAGCGTCGGCCTTAGCACAGGTGTTTCTGAATGATGTCCGTTTACTAAAGGTATCTAAAGAGTATGTAAGAAGACAAAGTAAACTGTACAGAGCGTACGTGAGCTGATTGATCAAGAGATTTCTCTCGGGTCAGTTCAATACTGAAAAAGTTATAAACTGTTTATCGTTATAATTTTTTTTAAGCACGTAACTGCTTGATGTTTAAATCTAAAGAAAATATAGCTAGAAAAAATTCCACGAGGACCAGGCAGCAGACGGGACTCGAACCCGCACCCTTCGCTATCCGGGCGAATGCACTGACCAATTATGCTACCGCGGTCCTGACGGCCGCGTCGAAATTCTTCTAGCCATTCTTAAGCTCCAAGGCAGCGCCATTTCTTCGCATTGTGGTGTTTATCGTTTTTCAGACACATATAATACGCCACATGCATTGTTGATGATTCTTTTGTCAAAAATTATGATCACATTTTTCAAAACAGTAAAGTAATCATAATATAGTACGACATACGAATCGTAATACGTATAAATAAAAAAGTAGATATAAAATAAATGAAATCCCAATGGGCCACTTTAACTACGTTTTTTTCCCATGGTATTCTGGCCCACGCATTCGGCCAACTTTTCCACTAGTGTTCCTACTCCGTGTAATGTGGACCGCGGACCAGTGGCCAGTTGCCTCCTAAGCCAAAATTTCGACAAGGGGGTAACAATCACATTATCAAAATAAAAATAACAAATTTATTGTTGTACAGTTTTATTAAAAAATCTACTAAATATATTAAAATAGTAACATTCCTATTAATTTTATTATTAACAATATAATACTCTACGAATTTCATTTGAATTCCCATAATTTTCAGTATGTACGTATAAATATTCTCTTCTTTTTAGTCTGATAATAAGTATCCTATGTTATTAGGTATATTAATTGTGTGATGCTCAGACGAGTCAGGATCGATTGATATAATTAGCAAATATAATACATAATGGTAATATACCTATATAAAAATCACTCTCTATATATATACATATTATATATTGCAGCTTCAACATTTTTAAATACTGATACACAATTTGGTTGGTTTTGTTTAATAGGTACTTATGTTTTTTTCAATCAATTTATCAATTTAGTACCAAGCTAGAACTTGTACTGTGGATACTAAATTCAGTTGTAATGTATCGGGAGTTAATTTTTTTTAGCCAGGTGGGTAAATGACTCTACCCCACCTGATGTTAAGTGGTAAACGCGAAGATAGCTGGTACTGCAGTTATAAACTGCCACACCAACCATCCTCATCTTGCCGGCCTGCAAAAATGCTTCTTCACTCCTCTCTTAAAGGACCCCAGATTGTAGATTTTTATACCCATGACTAATAAATGCTCCTTTCGGGATCCGAATCAAGAACCTTAGGAGCAAAAGACTGGAGCGCTGCCGTTGCACCAACCAATCGTGGTGTTGTGTTGGTAGATGGCTTTGCATATTTTTTGCAAACATATATATTTCATTAACAAACAAAATTATAGCTTACCTAGCGATTTTCCGAGAATGCTTGATAAATATTTTATTTTATTCCATTTTTACAAATTCAATTGACAGATCCAGGCAAGTCTCTTTTTATATATCTTACTTATATTCAGGCACTTATCATACAATTTATATAAACATTTAATATCGTACTATTATCCTCTTATGACATGGCAAATTAGTTAGTACGACTCTCGTAAAATAAATAGATACATTTATACTTAAATTGAAACACGTATAAATCATCAATTAGGTACAATAACCTGAGACACAGCAGAAAATCCTGCAAAAAAATCTTTTCCCGCGCTGTCAACCATAATGCGAGTTCGACACGATGCGAGCCCGCCAAATTTCCCTCTGGGTTTTGAAAAACCGCGAAAAGCAAAGAGACCATGAGACAGGCAGCCATTTTGTTTCAACTGCTGCTGTCGCTTTCGCTCTCGCTGGTTTCTCTTTTCTTCTTCTTCTTCTTATCTCTTCTGTCGTCGTGTTTGTGCTTAGGGCTGCGCTTGGGACTGTCCCTGCGCACGCGGTGATGTCAAATGCCCGAGTCGTCAGTGGTGTGATGGATGTTGTTCAGAGACTCTTCGGAGGAGTCGGACTTTTGCTTCTTCTTTGAACTGTAGCAAAATAAAGTTTTTTTTAGTTGGAACATTATAAAAGGTTATGTACAGTGAAGTTTTTCTAGTATTGTTGTTTCTAGGAGGATAGGTATCCAATTAGATACCGCTACAAAATTAAATGTTATTTTTATGAGTGGGGTGCAAGCAACTTCATCTACATGATAAAACTGGTCAACCTTACATTTTCCGGGATATATATCGTAAGTATATCTTAATCCAGGAAATTAACTACTTAAATGTCTGCCAAATGAGATTGCTCAGCTTCCATACATGTTTGGCCTAAAGACCAATAATCATGAAAAATTGTTTCCTAGATTCGAAATTATATATAAATTACTGTAGAAACGAATATTATTGACGGACACCCCTGAGAACTTCTATAAACCATATACACTGAACATATTAAAATAATAAAAATTAAATAAGTTATATAGTAAACTAGGGAAATCAAGCCAAGTACCAAAATTATGGATTAGATTCAGGTATATAGAGCATGTACATTAACAGATAGTTGCCTGTTTTTAAAGTTAATGCATAAGAGTAACTTTTAAAATCAAGTGTCATTTCCGGTTATAATAAAGTACTCTGTGACAGAAACTGTGTGATGATTGTGAATGAGCCACAGATTAGAGAGAATTTTTAAACTCTCGTTAACCAAAGAAAGCTAAGAGATTTAGGTTCTATAGCCATATATTTAGTAGCTTCATTATTTTTGTTATGTTTTTAAGATAACCATATTTTAGATTTTTAGTGTATCACACCTTATAATTTTATTTATTTATTAATTTATAGTCAGGGATCGTAGGCTCATAGATAGATAGATACCATACAGTCCATACAGTCTGACATATATACAGATTATAATGTGTTTATGGAGGTGTTTGGCGAAAAATGTATGGCAATAAACTTTATGATGTCGCCTACCATCTATAATAATTGTCTGAGCACATTTGCATCTAGTGAAAATGATAATATAGTTGTGGATATTAATACCACAGTGTAATAAAAAACATGATTTATTTTATCAATCTTTACAAAATAGATTTGTTTTTATGTTATACATATAAACATATTCGGTCAGTCTTTGGCTGAATGTTACTACACCCATAGCCATTAAAAATGATTCGTATGTTTTCCAAACCGGTAAAATTAAAAGTCCTTTTTAAAGTAAATATATTATACAAAGGTGTCCGTTGAGATCTAATGACTGTAAATTAAATTATAAATTACGGCAAGAATTACCGTGTATGTCAATATTTTTTGTGCATTTAGGCCAATTTGAGCAATCTCCTTTCATCCAGATACGATTTTTTTATTGAAATATCTATTGTTTATCTCAATCAGAAGTAGTAAATATTTATCGTAAGTAAGTACTCATCGGATCTATACCTACTAAAAGTTTAAAGAAACAACTTGTCATCCTGAAAAGTAAAATGCGGAAGTGTATCTGTCTGTCATCTTTTGCTGAACCGATTTCGATGCAATTTTGTATAAAGATACATAGTTTAAAATCCGGGAAAGGAAATAATTTATATCCCAGAAATCACCGTTTAAGGGGGTGAAAAAGGGAGGTGATATTTTGTAAGACCATTTAAACAACGCAGACGAAGTCGCGGGCCCCAGCTAGTCACTTATTATACAATTTACACATAAATCAGAGGCCTAAGGAGAACTTTGACAGCTCCGTACCGCATCGTCAAAGTTTCTATGAAAACTATACATTTCCGCAGCGTTCACAGGGGCCTCGTGGGTAGGGTTACCATCCGTCCGGATTTGTCCGGACATGTCCGGAATTTTTGCCTCTTGTCCGGACTTTATCCGGCTTTGTAATTTGTCCGGATTTTTTTAATTAGATGGAATATGAATAAGACTACTTATTAAGTTATATCAAATAAGTCAAATAATCTTTATTAAGTTCTCATTAATTTAAAACAAAATATAAATCATCTTTAAAAATCAACAACGAGACCTCCCTCGCGATGCCAGCGTCTGGTACCACACATATAATATCACTGTAACTAAGTGGGTGATGTTTGCATTTTGTGACTAAAATGTCCGGACTTTTATCGAAACGTATTATATTATATCGCTTATCGTCAGGACTTTTCAAAATTTTAAATAGTAACCCTACTCGTTGAGGAGCTCGATGGCGCAAGTGGTTAGCGCGTTCGGCTGCGATCGTTGAAATTAAGCAACTTTCGCAGTGGTCGGTCATTGGATGGGTGACCAAAAATTTACTATCTCGAGCTCCTCCGTGCTTCGGAAGGCACGTTAAGCCGTTGGTCTCGGCTGCATCTGCAGTCGTTAGCACCCACCAATCCGCACTGGGCCCGCGTTGTGGGTCATGGCCCAATCTCCCTATTCCATCCATAGGGAAGGCCTGTGCCCCAGCAGTGGGGGCATTAATAGGCTGATAATGATGATGATGATGAATGAACCCTACTCGTGGGCGACGCAGTCGCACCACTGTTATTATGTAAGCAAAGGCCCATAACTTGACCAAAACTTGCTTCCGATTGCGTCGTTGCTCCCGGCTGTGAGCGCTGATTGGTCCGATTGTTTGACGGCGCGTCGTTTGATTGGCTATTATCTATTCGGTGTAGTATCATCGGTTTCCGTACTATAATCAATAATCAAAATCATTCATTCAGTTTAGGCTGTTACAAGCACTCATGAATATCTAGAAGCTACGCCATCGGTTCGTAAATCTACGGCGGGAGACCTTGTACTGAGAAGAACCGGCAAGAAACTCAGCAACGGCTGTTTTTTTCTCCCTGTTTTATTATTTACAGAGTCGTCAAATTGAAATTGACTTCAGAGATGATTCATGAGGTCACCTTTCATTACATAATTATTAAATATACATTAATTGTTTACCTGCATTTTGATTGCTGTGTCATTTAAATATATAAAACTCAAAGGTGACTGACTGACATAGTGATCTATCAACGCACAGCCCAAACCACTGGACGGATCGGGCTGAAATTTGACAAGCAGGTAGATGTTATGACGTAGGCATCCGCTAAGAAAGGATTTTGGTCAATTCTACCCCCAAGGGGATAAAATAGGGAATGAACGTTTGTATGAAACTTTATCAATTTTAAACCGATCGGGCTGAGACTTTGCATGCAGGTATAAGAAGAACCATAGATGAATGTCATTGTGCATAATACAAGCCTGAGAACAAAAACTGTAGTCTACACTTAGCTCTACACCGAAGCGAAGCCGAAGGGTGGGCCGCTAGTACAGTATAAATACAAATAGTGTTATATACTAACAGTATAAGATCACCCTTACAGCCTCTTTATGTATTCTGTGGCAGTGTCCCTATAAGACGTAACTTACAAAAAAACTGGTTCTTTACATAGGAAATTTGACGATGACAATAGGATAAACGGTTCTGTCAAGGTTCGTGCTTGGGAGACTTACGTTTTTTTCGTCTCATTTTCTGTTGTGATTTGGTCCCGAAACAAATTGGACAACTCCAACTCCCTTATCTCATCCGTGTTTGTGAGAATGATTGCCCTGTTAACAATAAACTTGGAATTACTTTTACGCCCTCCTGTAATCAAGATTAAGAGATGTTATCAATCATGTTCATTCTTCATGTTATCAAGATGAAGAAAGCCTAATTTTCAATGAAATTCAAATTCGTATGAAATGGTATTGAATTAATTATCATTATTAAAGAAAATTTTCTTAGAAAAAAATTACATGGACCAGGCAGGGACTCGTACCGCTTCGCTATCCGGGCGAATGCTCAGTGTATGCTAAGTGCGTACGCCCGGATAGCGAAGGGTGCGGGTTCGAGTCCCGTCTGCTGCCCGCGTGGAATGTTTTCTAACAATATTTTCTTTAGATTTAGACATCTAGCAGTTAAATGCTTAAAAAATAAAAGATATTTAAGTAACTTTTATGACAAAATAAAAAATATACTAAATATTTATTATTAATTCAAATTCTTTACCGTATATTCGGTTTCTTTAGGCTGTCAAAAGTATTTATGAATGGATGTCACTAAGCCAATCTACGGCGGAAGACCTTGTACAAAAAAGAACCGGCAAGAAACTCCAGCCAGGGCTGTTTTTCCCCCTTTCTAATATGTACTTAAAAAGACACAAGGGAGTAGGGCAATGCTAGAATTCGAGTTTCATACAGTGTAAAAAAATATTTTAGAATGAATGTAAGTACAACTGGACGGCTCTCCCCTCTAGAAAAAATCCCTATTTGTGTGATGGGTATCATTCCCAATCATTTTTTTTTATTTCGCTCACAAAACTGGTTACAAAGAATATCCATTTAAATATATGCATTTCCAAAAAAAACATCAACTACTTTGCAACCTACTAGATGCAAGCACAACATGCATTTCTAAAACTACCTAACTACTAAGGATAAATATAGCACATATAGGTTAAACTCAATAACTAAAAAATTAAAGTTAAAACTAAAAACTAATAAAACTTAATCAGAGAATATTGATTTTAAGCATTTTCAGGTTGAGGTTTTAGAACCTTTAAATATAAAGAAAATATAACTAGAAAAAATTCCACGCGGACCAGGCAGCAGACGGGACTCGAACCCGCACCCTTCGCAATCCGGGCGAATGCACTGACCAATTATGCTACCGCGGCCCTCACGGACCGCGTCGAAATTCTTTCTAGCTATTCTTAAGCTGCAAGGCAGCGCCATCTCTTCGCATTATAGGTAAACCCACAATGTCAAATGAATACTTTTACAAGTATTAAACATTTGAAAGAAGAAATAGCAATTATAGTTATAAATTTTATTATTTTTAAAGCATGTAACTGCTTGATGTTTAAATCTAAAGAAAATATAACTAGAAAAAATTCCACGCGGACCAGGCAGCAGACGGGACTCGAACCCGCACCCTTCGCAATCCGGGCGAATGCACTGACCAATTATGCTACCGCGGCCCTCACGGACCGCGTCGAAATTCTTTCTAGCTATTCTTAAGCTGCAAGGCAGCGCCATCTCTTCGCATTATAGGTAAACCCACAATGTCAAATGAATACTTTTACAAGTATTAAACATTTGAAAGAAGAAATAGCAATTATAGTTATAAATTTTATTATTTTTAAAGCATGTAACTGCTTGATGTTTAAATCTAAAGAAAATATAACTAGAAAAAATTCCACGCGGACCAGGCAGCAGACGGGACTCGAACCCGCACCCTTCGCAATCCGGGCGAATGCACTGACCAATTATGCTACCGCGGCCCTCACGGACCGCGTCGAAATTCTTTCTAGCTATTCTTAAGCTGCAAGGCAGCGCCATCTCTTCGCATTATAGGTAAACCCACAATGTCAAATGAATACTTTTACAAGTATTAAACATTTGAAAGAAGAAATAGCAATTATAGTTATAAATTTTATTATTTTTAAAGCATGTAACTGCTTGATGTTTAAATCTAAAGAAAATATAACTAGAAAAAATTCCACGCGGACCAGGCAGCAGACGGGACTCGAACCCGCACCCTTCGCAATCCGGGCGAATGCACTGACCAATTATGCTACCGCGGCCCTCACGGACCGCGTCGAAATTCTTTCTAGCTATTCTTAAGCTGCAAGGCAGCGCCATTTCTTCGCATTATAGGTAAACCCACAATGTCAAATGAATACTTTTACAAGTATTAAACATTTGAAAGAAGAAATAGCAATTATAGTTATAAATTTTATTATTTTTAAAGCATGTAACTGCTTGATGTTTAAATCTAAAGAAAATATAACTAGAAAAAATTCCACGCGGACCAGGCAGCAGACGGGACTCGAACCCGCACCCTTCGCAATCCGGGCGAATGCACTGACCAATTATGCTACCGCGGCCCTCACGGACCGCGTCGAAATTCTTTCTAGCTATTCTTAAGCTGCAAGGCAGCGCCATCTCTTCGCATTATAGGTAAACCCACAATGTCAAATGAATACTTTTACAAGTATTAAACATTTGAAAGAAGAAATAGCAATTATAGTTATAAATTTTATTATTTTTAAAGCATGTAACTGCTTGATGTTTAAATCTAAAGAAAATATAACTAGAAAAAATTCCACGCGGACCAGGCAGCAGACGGGACTCGAACCCGCACCCTTCGCAATCCGGGCGAATGCACTGACCAATTATGCTACCGGCCCTCACGGACCGCGTCGAAATTTTTCTAGTTATATTTTCTTTAGATTTAAACATCAAGCAGTTACATGCTTTAAAAATAATAAAATTTATAACCTTTAAATATGTCTAAATCATTTCGAATAGCATTATAGGTTGAAAACATTCTATAAAGAGGAGAATGATTCCCGAGTCTTGTCTTACTTGATCATTATAACGTTATTTAGTTTTATAGTAAAAGTACCATCTAATAGATTATAGTTTAAACCGAAAAGAAATGTACCTAAGCTTATTGAGAGTACAAAACTATAGCGAATTAGTTCTCAATAATTTTTCCCTCGGTGAAGTCATATTTTAACTAACTCCAACTTTGTGGCAATCTCTACAAACTAAACACTCTGTATACGTACACCCTGTATATACAAACAAATAGACGGGTCATCCAACGATTGAGCGCCCCGTCGAGTCATTTCGGCGCACCCTTTAAGTTAGTGATGGGGCAGCGAAGATGATATCGATAGTTTGGTAGCGAAATGAGAATTTCAAAAGCTGCAATACATGTTTTTCTAAAAAATAAATAAAACATAATTCTAGGCAGTAGACGGGACTCAAAACCGCACCCTCCTACATCTACCATACGATAGCGGAGGGTGCGGGAAAATTTCTTAACTTTCAACATCTAGCAGTTAAATGAATACTTATCAGTTTTAAATTATGAGTTTGTAATAGTATATTATACAAGAAAATGACGTTAAAGCAAATTACTCATTTCATTAAAATATTGCTACGGTAGTAGTGCTGTTGCATTATATTGCGATATGTGTGAATGTCTGTGTATGCCTATACGTTTAGTTGGCGTTTATTTTGATTATTTTCAATTGACTACTTACAAAACTTTTGTCTTGTTTTCCGCACAACCTCCCTCATTATCATTATCGTGCTTCCTACTTTTTCCAGCTCATTGGGTTGTCTGGAAGAAATCGCTGATTAGCGATAAGACCGCCCTTTGTGCAACTGTAATTGTTTTGCCTTGTATTTGTATTTTATTCGTGTTATTTATGTTACTGTTGTGCAATAAAGTATTATGATCTTATTATCTTATCTTACTCAGTGAATGTGATTGAGAATTATTTGACTAGCTTTCAGCCTACGGTTTTGCCTAAATTTTTAACCCCTGTTTTTGCGTCTCAGGGGATGAAGTTATAAAAAAAATACAACTTCATTCTAATAAAACCCCAACTAAAATAATATCAAAATTAGGTATCCAGCTAGTTGATGCTATGTGATGTTATCAAAGTTATCGATGAAATTAACTCTTTCCCATGCCCACATCACTAGGGGCAGTGATTCGGCGGAGAACCGGTCGTGTCAAGGTGACGATCGACCGCCGTCGTCACCCCTCACACACACACATACATACACACAATTCACCGTATACGACCTTATAAACACACAGATTAACTGATATGTCCGCTGAAATGACTTCTAATCTAATGCATATCCAAAGCCGTGGCAAATTGTTTTTTTTACGAATATTTTTAAGGTTAATTCATTAATTCCAGCTCTTTTCGTTTCGTTCTGTTTCCGTTTGTTTTTGTTTTTTGGGTTCCGTGCCCAAATTAATGGTGACAGAGGGAACCCTATTAATATGCCGCCGCTGTCTGTCTGTATGCCATTTTGTCCCAGGAATCTCTAATATCTAGATAGACACCTGAAATTTTCCGTAGAATGAGTTTTACCTACTATGGTCGCTTTTTCTACAAATAAGGTAACGCTTTCGTAAAAATACAAAAGGAGATTGCTCAGCTTCCATACATGTTTGGCCTAAAAACCAATAACCATGAAAAATTGTTTCCTACATTCGAAATTATATATAAATTACCGTAGAAACGAATATTATCGACGGCCACTCCTGAGAACTTCTATAAACCATATACACTGAATGATTTTGAGGTTATGTTTGCAAATAGGCACATAGGTATTAGAATAATAAAAACCAAATAACTTATATAGGAAAATAGGGCAATCAAGCCAAGTACCGATATTATGTATTAGATTCAGGTATATAGAGCATGTAAAATAACAGATATGTGCATGTTTTTAAAAACACGAACAGAAACAGTGTGATGATTGTGAATGAGCCACATATTAGAGAGAATTTTTAAACTCTCGTTAATCAAAGAAAGCTAAGAGCTGTACGTTATACAGCCATATCTTCAGCAGCTTCATTATTTTTGTTATGTTTTTATTATAACCATATTTTAGATTTTTAGTGTATCACACCTTATAATGTGTTTATTTAGGTGTTTGGCAAAAAATGTACGGCAATAGACTTTATGATGTCGCCTACCATCTATATTAATTGTCTTAGCACATTTGCATGTAGTAAAAATGATACTAAAGTTGTGGATATTAATACCACCCGTGTAATAAAAAAAAATATATTTTATCAATCTTTACAAAATAGATTTGTTTTGATGTTATATAAACAACCTCGATCAGTCTTTGTGAATGTTATTACACCCATAGCCAATAAAAATGATTCGTATGTTTTCCAAACCGGTAAAAATAGAAATCCTTTTTTAAAATTAATATATTATTTAAAGGTGGCCGTTAAAATCTAATGACTGTAAAATAAAGTATAAATTACGCCAAGAATTACTGTATATGTCAATATTTTATTTGCATTTAGGCCAATTTGACCAATCTCCTTTAAATATAATATGCGTCTTTATGGGATTCCTAAACGAGCTCTTTTTTATACATAAATGCAATTGCAATGGCTGTATTCCAAATTGTTATTAACCTTTTCGATGGCAGGCTGAACGAAACAATACATATGCAAGTCCGAATGGCACTTTGTCGGCACTGTAAGTACTTACTTTGAGGTTAGGCTAATTGTTGTGAGTGTTGGAAATATTTATTATTATTCTCTGGAATAAAAAGTGACTCCTCTCAATACAGGTACTGGTTGGTAACCTGTCCAAGTTTGGTAATTATTATTTCCGTTGTAGGGGCATCAGCCCTGCCTGCTCCGCCTCAAATAAAGGCGATTTAGGATAATATACTGACCTGATCTTTCCACCGTCCACTCGCGCATGCCTCTTCGGATCACTGATCATAGCGATTGAAGTTTCTCCTATTTCATGTTTCCTCTTGTGCTTCTTGGCTTTGTGTTTTCTGAAATAAAACCTTCAAGTTAAAACTTTGAGGTGCTGCGATCATCCTACGACTGGTGTTAGCTTTGCGGATATAGCCAATGATGATCATTAGCAATAACATCGCCAGCCCATGGCCTTTTTTTAATGCAGGCAAAACCTCTATTTACCGACGTTGGCGGATTTAAGGGGCTCACCAGGATCTCATACCTAGCCTCTCGCAAGCCTCACGGATGCGAAACGGAGCAGCCGTTAAGCAGTTCGCGCGGCTTACGAGCGCTTACGGAGTACTATCCGCTAAAAACCCCTGCTATCATGCATTCCACACTTAACAGCGTAGAGGGGATTCCCCTCGCTGCTACAAGTTCATATTTACCCAGTAAATTCATTTTCGTTTCGACGTAAGCAGAAATGTTTGGTCAGGCAAGCAAGTCAAACGAGTGGTTATATGACTTTGGTTTCTTTACATTTAGCTACATTTTTTGAAAGGAATAGAGAGTAAGTGCTATGATCCACCACGCGGGCTGCTAGCCAAGCAGTAACGCAATTGATAGTATATCTTAATTACGTTTTTTATGTCTAGCCTGATTGAGCACAGACATAATGGCAATTAAACACTCGGAATTTTGAAGGAGAAAGGTTACAAGATACATATTTTTATAAACCTAAAATCCCTCTTCTCATAGGTCTCCTCTAAGAGCGACCTAAAACCCCACAAACGGATTTCTACGTGAAAGCAGCTGGAACCAACAACTTAATGGAATAGTAGTACGGAGGGATCCGAAATTTTAAAATTTCCTTTACTCATACTATTGCAAAAACTTACCTCTGTAATCACTAATGGGGTCTGCTTTATTCTAAATTTGTAAACTAAATAAAGAGATAGCAAGAAACTAGACACTAACTTCTCTTTCTTTTTCCTGTCCTTCTTGTCGGAGGTTTTGGTCTTGGTAGTCTTCCTGTACACGGAGCCACCCGGGTCGTCAACTATCTCCAGGTGTAGTACGTACAAGCGGTAGATCTGCAGTAGTATTACCTGGTGGCACCAGATAAATATCACTTTACCCATCATGCTAAACTTTCGAGAGACGCTAATGAATTATCTGATAATAAATATTATTTATTCAGCTAAGGTTGTTTCAAGCTCATGAATGTCACTACGCCATTATCGGTTGGCATATTTACAGCGAGAGACTTTTACTGGTTCTTCTCAGTTCTTTTCTTCGACAAAAAACTCAGCAAGGACTAGTTTTCCCCCGTATCATTATTGATCTGCATTTTGATTGTTAAGTCATTCAGAAAAAATACTTTTTTTGAGAAATATAAGAACCTTTATTTGAGAGAGCAATCGCTTGTATTTTTCTTCAATTGAATTTTCTTTAGTTTTATAAATCTAACAGTTAAATGCTTAAAATAAATAAAATGGTAATACATAAATGATTTGATTAATTTGATTCGGATAATTAAAAGTAAGGACAGTTGATAAATTTCAAGACAAAAGGCATGAATTTCATTTGGATACATCTCGATTCTCAATGAATGTCTGTCTAAGGAAATTTTGAATTTCACTCACCAACGTGTTCTTACATGTGAAGAATATGTTCATGTAACTGATAATCTTGTAATGGCAGATGATGAGCAGTCGGAAGGCGAGGAACGGGGCGTCCTGGAGCGCGATGTTCATTATGATGGCACAGACTTCGATAGAACAGCAACAGGCGCGACTGTTTCTGTTATAATAGGAACACAGGATGACGACACCGGTTTATTCGTAGAAAGGTATCAAGTGGAAAATAAGTGGACTCATAAGGAAGTCTCAAAATCTATAATGATCACAAAGCCTAATTTGCAGAACGCCTATGAAGCAAAATGCCTAAAATCATTGTTTAAAATGCAGTGTCTTTGAAGTTGCACTTTTAATTCTATTAGGAGATAAAGAAACGTTCATTTATTCACTATAATTATAAAATATGTTAGATTATATAAAAAGTTACTTCATTTTATTAGGCATAGTTAATATACTGCTTAATAAGCAATAAATAATTTTGATAAGCATATTTCAATGTTTTCGAAAATCTTGTATTTAATTTTTATCTTTTTAAAAGCTTTAGTCATTTTACATTTTAGGTGGCTTGTATTTATAGATGTTCTGAAAATTGGACTTTAGAACCATTTAGACTTTTTGCAGTATAGCTATACTCATTTTAGTCATTTTGCGTTTTAGTTGGCTTGCATTCTTAAACATTCTGCAAATTAGACTTTGTGATCATAAATCTCAAAATATTGGTAACATTTATACAGTCATCCATATAACAAGTAACAACAAAATGTTATATCTTTATAAGCTATTATGAAACAAACAGGATAAAACTCAAAATCAGCTGGAGAAATTTGACAGTGTTAACTAGAAATGTGGCTGACTGCAATTTATGTTTTTAAACAGATTAAGTAATCGTAAAAACGTGAGGTATAATATCGCGTTTGTTTTCAAGTAATAATTGAAAAACTTTAGAATTGTGTGACAGTGTCATGTGTTGTGTTTGTTTTTCTCATTTATTTTCACCAGCTAGACTTATAGTTAACTGTACAATAATATTAATTTGCTCTAAATGTACACGGCGCGCATCGTCAGGCGGTTTCTTTCTCTGCGGCCCTAACCACCAGTAGCTTGGGCCTCGCTCCGCTGCTGGTGGCCTTCTAGGTCAGGTTTTTTATACTATATTTATTTTTGCATTTACGTTTTTGTATTTTACTTTTATATCTATTTTATAAAAAACCTAACTTGTGGAATGAAATAAATGAGAGTATAATAGTAATAAAAATCTTTATACAATGTGAGGTCGTCTCATTGATATTTAACAAAAGTTTATTGCATATATTGGTTTTAAGTAAAAACACTGTAAGAAGCAGTGAGAAGCATACACAATAGATAAATAAAAAGCAAAACGTACGCTCGGATAAAAAAAAATACAATTTACCACTCTATAAGGCATAAGTTATTTTAAGAAAGAGTTATAGGATCGAACTACAACGATGATTACCATTAGAAATGGCCAGTACTCTATTTCTTCGCCCGAATTTTAAAATATCTCATAAATGTTTAATTTAAATGAATACGTTATAAACATTCCGTCTGTGTTAATAGTGAAGGTCTGTCACTTACGACAAACTTTAAGCCCATTCTTAAATAAGACATTATTAATAATCACAATTCAATTCGTCACAGATTAAAATTTGTGAAAAGTTTCTTATTTATGCCTGGATTACGGTACATACAATTTCTTGTGTTAAGGATTAAGCATATTGTAATAATATATTTTTTATTTAGATCTGTATATGGTACGACAAAATCACTTCGCTTTGCTGTGTTCGAAGATCACTTAATATCGTCAATATAAAAATCATACCTTGAATGACGCATTATAGCCTAAAGTAACTAATGGAGCAACGAAATCTTCAGGATATTAAAATCAGATCCGAACTACGAATTGGTGACCATTATAAATGTAATTTACAACTAATAGCTCAAGACATTTATCCAAAAGTTATTTCGTTGTTATTTGGCAGAATCTATTTGGTAAACCTTGCAAATAATCTATTGGTTTAACATTTTTAAATTAGCAAGTCTGTAATAACATCTTGTTAGTGCGTTCAAAACATATCCAACCCAACAAGTGCACAACTGATCGAAGATAAATAATAATGAGTATTCTATTCTTAACCAAGGGCCTGCCGATTAGTAATCTTATCAATGTTAAACAAAGTGATTTTATCTAGTACTAACTAACTAACTTATGGTAATATTGTGCAGTGGGAAACAAAATGAAACCAAAAACAAAACCGCGTACATACTCGTGCATATGCGGAGCGTGCAATAATACGTACATTTCAGACCTATTTGCCGTGCCCCTGGATTTGCGCGATTTCGTTGCTGTCAGGACAACGGTGAACTGCATCAGCGACCACGTCCAGATTGCCAGCGTTAACAGCACGAGACCCTTCTCTAAAGCCATTTTCTCGTCTTTGAAAGAGTCGAAGAATTCTATTATGTCTGCAGCTGTACCTGTCACAGATACAATCATTCATTATAGAAGGCTATCATAACTGCACTTTGATCGCTTTTGTATTCGTTCCGAAATCGCTGTTTAAGCTCAAACAGTTATTTATTTTTATTTATTTAGTTATCGCTTTAAAACTAAACTGTCCACTGCACGGTGGACGCGCTTGTAATATCGTAGGTGTTTCAGAGTCACCACGTAATATATTAGGATATCTTAGAGTCACCTGGTGCTATGTTAAATCAGTCGGAGGCATTGTGAAGGACGCTCCCCTTGGTCGAGGGTTCGGTGGCAAGGAATGAGAGAGTTTTTTTTTATGCATAATAGGCAATACGTTTGACCACAATCTCACCTGATGGAAAGTGATGATGAGGCCTAGGATGGTACACGCCTGCCTAGAAGATGCCTGTTCACTCTGGCCTTGAAGATGTCCAGTTATTTTATGGACACATGTTTATTGTACGGCGTCGTGTTATTAAGTCCTTAGAACTACGTTAATATTATAATAGAACATATGTGTTACGGTACAAGTCTAAATTCATCCACTACACGCTTATATACGCCAATCGACACATTTCAAAAAATGCCAGTTCAATTGGGAGTTAACTAGCACACATACCTACTTATACGCAGGTAACGCACATGAGTTGTAAACAAGTGCCCATGTTGTTGCACTTTCGTCCTTACGTCGCATTGCATAAGGCTCATATTTAGACGAACCACACCATTCGGCTTTAAGCCACGACGCTCTGGTTAAATCTGTTTCCAGTGTGTTCGCGGTTTTGGTTCGAGAGCGTTTGTGGCAATATAATATAGGTAATTTGGAGCAGCTCAATGTGGCAGTAAAAAAAGTTGTTTGAGGACAAAAGCTGTATCGGGCAAGGCTACTTAAGTAATCTCAGGCTTTCATCTATAAGATAAATCTATGTTAATCTTCAAATAGTTTTTTTAAGTGATTGATTGCCACGTTATAAACAAAAAAGCTAATGCAGTTTAATTACATTTCCAGTTTGACGTCTTAAGCTTTAGATATTAAAATCATCATCATCAGCCTATTGATGTCCCCACTGCTGGGGCACAGGCTTTCCCTATGGATGGAATAGAGAGATTGAGCCATGACCGACCACGCGGGCCCAGTGCGGATTGGTGAGTGCTAATAACTGCAGATGCAGCGGAGATCAACGGCTTAACGTGTCTTCCGTAGTACGGAGGAGCTCTTGATAATATTTTTTTCGGTTACCCATTCAAGGACCGACCACTGCGAAAGCTTAACTTCGACGATCGCAGCCGAACGCGCTAACCACATGCGCTATCGACATATTAAAATACCAATGCTTTGTAATACTCACCTATATAGACTAGAAGTAGTTGACTGAGCTGGTCTCTCGTCAGATCCCCCTTGGGCAGCAACCATCTTCCAACAATGAGAGTCAGCATCAGAAACTGCTCGATCAATGTCACCCACATGTCGGTCGGGATCTTGGTAGCAACAGGGATTGGAATCCCTGTCTGGTGTTACAACAAAATGATTTTTTTAACAATCCATTATGAATGCTAAATCTGTTCAAATATAGCTCAAAATCTGTTGGAGAAATCTGACACCGATCAACGTCACATGTCGGTCGGGATCTTGGTAGAACCAGATATTGGGATCTCTGTCTGTCAGCCACACATCAAGTTACAATAAAATGTGAATTTTTATCAATGGATTATGAATTGTAAGTCTGTCCGAATAAAACTCAAAATCTGTTGGAGAAATCTGTCAGTTCTAGATAACTTGTTCCATTAATGTTACCCACATGTCGGTCGAGATCTTGGTAGCACCAGATATTGAGATCTCCGTCTGATGTAGGGTAAAAGTTTATCATGTACAGTCAGCCAACGAATTAGAAATGATACAGAAGCATTTCTCTCCAAAGCCAGGTCTCCTGTGCCGTGTTCTCGTGTTTGCTAACACGATAACATTGTTTGCTAACCGATTGGGGTGTGTTCTAACAGTTTTGCTGACGGCGACTGGATAATACTTGTTTTGATAACATGTTTTGTTAGAAAATTAGCGCAAGAGACCCGGCTTAACAAAGGCCGCTAAAACATGGTTCCAAACTCATACAAGTAAACTTCAATACAAACGCGACACGCACGGAAACAAAAGAAAATACTTTGTTAAACCAAATATCTGCAAATGAATGCGGATGAAAAAAAATCAAAGTTAAACGTAAATCCCAACCAATCCCATGATCGACGTGTTGATCACATTTCTATCGCCCCGCCCACTTGATTGCAGTTTGCGTGAAACCAATTTTAGCGCAATTCGTATTCCATATCATTTCTAATTCAGTAATTTGTAGTCAGCCACATATCAAGTTACAACAAAATGAAGTTTTGTATCAATCCGATTATGAATGCTAAAATCGTCGGAATAAAGCTCAAAATCTTTTGAGGAAATTAGACAGTTTTGGGTAACTTGACCTGAGGCTGTTTGTTAGTTTTTTTGATTAATCTTTCCTACTCAATAACAAACACACCATTCGCATTACATAGTTATACATCAACAGAATATTGTAACCCAGAATTGTTATTTATTCCAACTGATTTAATTTTCATATTTGCTTAACATAAAGGTTCATAGTCGGTTGTGAATAAAAAAACTATGGTAACTTCATTTGTTAATTTCATAAAAGTACACTTTGTACGCTAATTAAAACATATTTAAAAAAAAAATATGTACTTATGTACTTAATTACAATTTGATTTTCATCCATAATTGGCATCCTGCATTACTAATAACTATTGGTATTTAAGAAAAATTTGCTAAAAGTTGTTGATGGTGTTTTAATAAAGATAATTAAACCTTGGACAAAGAATTATTCTTGATCTAATAATAACTAAAATAATTTTATAATTAGTAATAATTCTTAGTGTACAATCCGTTCATCATAACTTGTCCTTTTGGGTGAACAATCTTGGTACAACTTTTTAACAAAATTACCCATTTAAAAATAATATAATAACAAAGTCATTAATGTATTCCAATAAATCGTTATTATAGACTGAAACCTATTGAATCTGGTTATCAGGTGATTTTCAATGCTGCATTTTCAATAAAAAGGAGTGCCAATATTTTTTACCAGATGGGACAAGTTATGATGAACGGACTGTAAGCATTAATAACTATTTGGGGGCTGGTCTTAGGCCGTATACAGCAAGAAAGCCGAAAGCCGATCGGCGCCGATCCTTCCTACATAAAGGAAGCCGATTAAAGCAGATCAAGCAAAATGTCGGACTCATCGGACGATGATTTGGTTTTGTTAGAAAATATTTATTTAAAAATGCGAAAAACAGCTATACATCCTATAAATAGAGAAAGGAAACGTTTCGGAGAATACCATCATTTATTTGTAAAAAAAATAAAATTTAATGAACAAAGATTTTATACATATACAAGAATGATTCAAGAAACATTTTATTACATTTTGGATTTAGTGAAAAACAGTTTGATGAAAAATTGGGGCAATTGGCATAAACAACCAATCCTTCCAGAAGAAAGACTTGTTGTCACCATTCGGTAAGTACGAAACAAATAATTTTAGCGCTTAGTTAATAAAAGATAAAGTTATTAGATTTATCAAAAGATTATAACTTAGATTGATTTAATCTAAGGATAATAATTCAAATACAAATTATTTATTATTCGGACCAGCGCGTGTCGGCGCTTATCGGCGCTTATCGGCGCCGGTCCATAGAAAAAGGATCAGCGTCAATAGGCGCCGATAAGCGCCGATCGGCTTTCGGCTTTCTTTCTGTATACGGCCTTAGTTCACCAAGCTGACATATGTCACCCGTTGAGTGATAGGTGTTTTGAGAATTTATTTTCAGTAATGCTTATAAAATGACAGACATTTTGTTTCAATTGTTCGTATCTTACTTCAACGACAATTATGTTGTGAAACAAGGGTAGTTAATTTTTTAAGTTAGTATTTGAAAAATAGTTGGTAATAGGGTATTCGACAAGTTTTAGAAAACGATCTCACCTAATTGACTAATGTTTATGGAGTCCGTAAAAAGTCAGTGGAAATTCATCATTCTGTTGTGTATTTCAGTAAAAATAACCAAATCAAAAACTCCATTTTCAAATTGCCGCGAAAACCTTTTTTCTGGACAATATGGCGTCTTACTAGTGTGTGACGTCACACGACTGTTATTAAAACGTCAAACGATACAATGTAATGTCACTTTAACCGGAAGTTAACTTGCGTGTGACGTCATTTTAGGCTCCGCCAATCCCAAGCGTTTTGGGTCACATGACAATAGATAAGAAAACTATTATCTTTTTCGTGGGTTTTTAGTAAAATTATGAATATTTTGTTTGTAAAAATAGTAAAAACCCCTGCCAATATTCATTCTAAAGCCAAAAACTGGCACTTTATTTTTAATACTGTCAAATACCCTATTCTTGACATGAGATCGGTGCTGTGTCAAATTAAAAGTAGTGTTTTCGTTGTTTTTTACAAAAGGGCATTTCGCGAAAGCTTGAAATAATAGTTCCTTCAGGAGACTTATAAAGAATGAATAATTTTCTCCATCAATGTCACTGATTTTGGATTCAAAGAAAAATTCCTCATAAGCAAAACCAGTATCGAACATTTAAAATTCTTAGATTAAAACAAAAAGGGAAGATACGGTATGCTCATACTAGCATCAAATAGAACATATTCTATCGGATCATAATCCGACTCAACCACATATGCAACTCTCACTTACGCCTGCCAATAACATTAACCATTATCGAATTAGACTAGTTTGCAAACCGAAATGTCAATGTCAAATTTTGTATGGAAACTTGAACAGCAGCGGCACAAAGTACGTAACGGGAACTTAAAATCAGTACACATTTGACAATGACATTTCGGACACGCAAACGTTACGAATTCGATAATGGTTCGTGCTAGGGGGGGGGGGGGGGGGGGGGTACTGTACGCTTCAACGCAGCGCGAGCGAAACGGCGAGTCCGCTTCCGAGTCCGTACGGCTGAGCTGTATTGTTGTCCTTTTCTTGATAACAAAATAACATTCACGACAAACCGTGATTATTGAGAAAAATATGTTTTATCAGTTTTACGAATGAAAAGTGCTGAGTCATTTGTTATTTATTTTGAACTATTTGTGTTCTTTATAAAAGCATCTAAGGCATTGTTTTATCTTTATAACAAAGAATATACGCAATCTCTTATCTATTAGACAAGTCCGTCCGTCCGTCCGTCTGTGGTGCTGTTTCAGCGGCCAAACCGTAAGAGATAGATAAAGAGAATGTTTAAGTTATAAGTTAAGAATAGTCTGATAAGACTACAAACCGGATTTGAGTAACGTAGCACTTCCGGTTTTCGAGAAATCACGAATTTCAAACGAAACCACACAAATCTCCGAAGTTCTCAATTAATTAAATACATTTTTTTTTGGTGAACATTTGGTTCACTGGTTTGCTAGTATTGTTATAATGAGTGCACATGCAGCATGTTTGAATGTTCAATTGTGACTAAAGCGAATTGTGGTCATGCACCACAATTTCAGTGGATCACTTTTGAGCCGCAGGTGCCATATCTTCCCATTTTCTTTTAATCTAAGATTTAATTTATGAAATCGGTGCAGTAAATAGATCACCCCACAGCAAAGCGTCATCTTACTTATGTCAGTGATATATGTCGACTTCGTGAAATAGGGCACTGATGGTTATAATAATAAAATTACCTCAAGAAGCGTAGAATTCATGCTATTTTGATTCTTAAGCCTGATATCAACTTTGTGTAGTTCCAGTAACCATATTGCTGGTACCACTATCCCTAAATATATAAATACCGATGGACAAAACCTGTGGGCAATAAAAATCAATTTCTTAGGTCCACTTACAGCAATTTTGCTTAACTGTCGATTTAACTGAAATTAGATTTAACCCATAGAAAAATATCAAAGATTCAATGACCCCTACAAATTATTGTATGAGCTAAATCTAGGTTTAGCTAAATTTAGATTTATCAAAATTGCTGCAAGTGGGTGAAATATACAAGTTAACTTACTTATTACTTTGATAACCGAAATATGGGTATCGGGACCATATGAATAAATACATAGATGCCATAGGTTTGTATGTGAATTAATAACATTATTAATAAATGTAATAAATTTGCATGTTTCAATAATTTTATGTAATGTTATTCATTCACATAAAAATCGTGGAGGAGATCTATATAAGTTTTGGTGGGTTGCGGGCTATATGCCTCCATCAAGCTCCTCACGACGGCATCTATGTGTTTATTATTATTATTATTTCTTAGTATCTGTGCTATTTAAGTCAATTTTAAAGGGTTGTAAACATAACCATTTTATTATTCTTTCATTTATCCATCAATGATTATTAGAACTAATAAAATGTAGCCAATTTAAACATTAGTCATTCCCGATTCTATTAAGTACACAACCTTAAAAAGGTATTACGTTCAAACTGAAATACCAGCTTGAGGCAAATTGCAACCTTTCTGATGCTAATGGGGCTTCCGGTCCGGGCGCGCCCTGTTGACACGTGCCGTCATTGCCGCCAGTTGTTCTGGCAATCAAGCTATTACTCACATAATTATTCTGACAAATTGGCAGTGACAGTTAGAGCGCCAAGTTTTGAAAAATACCACGGTGGGCGCCAAAATAAAAAGTACATTTTTTTGCAATGCAAGGTACTGTATTTTCCGATAATTTAAGAGTCTAAAGTTCAGTTATAAGGATTTCACTTGCAGCAGAAAAATGTACTTAACAAACCTTCCTCGCTTTAAATCTAAAAAAAATACTAGAAATATCATAGTCATCTAGCAGTTATTTAACTGCTAACTAGATGTTTCTGATATTTCTAGTATTTACGGAAAACTAAAAATATAGCAAACTCCCTCGTCTTTTTAAGTTCAGCTAAATTGTCTACACTGTTATGTTCTGCAAACCTCACTTATTGCAGGAACCCAATATTACATAATAGTCTAAAGTTACAGCCACCAAAGATTACTTTCTACACAAATTAAGCTTGTATTGCTCTAATAAGAAGCATCAGATTTGATGCCAAGATTGAAAAAGTACTATGGTATATGCCAAATTAGTATTGGTAAAATGAGTATATTTATATGTTTTTATAAGTAAATTAAATATTAATTGACTTAAAGATCTCGATTCTGTATAATTAATATCTTTAATTAAATGCGACAATTTTGGGCGCCAAAATATGAAGAGTACCACGTCGGGTGCCAAAATAAATACTGTAGTTAAATGTCTGTTTAAGTATTTAAACGCTAATTGCCTAAATTTTTCTGATTTTTAGACTCGTATCATGCCATATAATCAATTTTGTGTCTCTCAAAGATTTCAAATTCCAGCTGATACATTAATATTAAGGATGTGTGCTGTCCCATTCAATATTCTATTCAATGAAAATATTGATACGTCCAGAAAGATTCTGAATTTTATTAAACTCTACCAAATATAAAATATCGATCCATCCAAAAGGCTCAATATTATTAAGAACACATTAAATGAAGGGCTAAAAAAGTGAATCAAATCTGTTTAGTGTCAAACTATTTACTTAGCTTGTTTAATCAAAGCTCCCTTTAATAGATGCGCTCGGCTGGGCATTCACAATACGCCGAAATGTCACATAACTCCTTGAAGGTCGTCCATTGATAATATTTTTGTAGTATGCTGTACGTCCGTTATAAGATTGTTGCCGTTATTTCTTATAACCAAAAATAGGTACTTAGCATATTTTGTTACCTATTTTTGGTCTTTAATTTCGAAATAACAATTTGCAAGCAACTCCGTTTTTTTGCATACATACTAGTATAGTTCAAATATAAAGGAACATTCTGGACTTTGCCACATGGGAACTTAGTATGAATTTCAAAATGCTCTTATTTATATAGTTTAACTTTGTACGATAGTGGTCTTAATATACTCGGCTGGTCCATACAAAACTCAGGCTATCAAAAATATGAAAATATGTTTAAGAAATGACATCACTTTCGCACTCACCATTTCCATTCTTGATTTTCCTTTATAGTTAAAGTGAACAGCCCTTCGAAAATCAGCAGCAGTATAGGAGATGCCAAATACCAATACTCAGTATTTTTTTTGAAAACAGTCACCTGCCATATAGCTATAATTCCATGGCAGGCGAAAACCAAACGCGTTATAACAGCTTTTATCGTAGCCAAAACTTTGCCGATGTTCGCCATTTTTACTACTTACAGAGTGCAAATTGGCTGTATGATCAAAATGCAACGGTGTTTTGTCATTTTTAAAAAGAGAGCGTTCTTTTGTTTTTAATTTGAAATTTTGGCTTTGGTTTCTTTGCTTATTTCTTATCACGGATCCTTGTTTTAAATAACTTCCTTTTTGTTAGTTTTTTTTTAAATTCTACTTTTCCTTTTTTAAATACTTTTAAACGAATTTAAGGCACTTTTGAAGGCACTTTTAAAAGTATTTACAACACTCGTCACTGTATCAAAATCATTGTAAAAAAATAACTAGCTAAGTTTCTCTGTTAGGGTTCCCTTCACGAGGCTTAGTTCTACACTGGAGCAATCAGGGATGGTTAATGCAACTTTGTGGACTCCCTTTTACCTGCGGTCCGTTGTTTACAAATGATTCATATACATTGCTGGTTACAAAGAAAATGTTTAAATCGAAAGAAAATATTGTGTGCCCGGATAGCCGAAGATGCGGCTTCGAATAACGTATGAAACTTGGTTCCAGTGGATTTTTTCTAGTTATAGGTATTTTCACGCGGATCAGCCAGCAGACGGGACTCGAACCCGCACCCTTCGCTACCCGGGCAAATACACTAACCAATTCTGCTACCGCGGCCCTGATGGCCGTTTCGAATTCTTTCTAGCCTTTCTTAAGCTGCAAGGCAGTACCATCTCTTCGCATTGTAGGTAACAGTCAATGTCAAATGAATATAACTTGACAAGCATTAAACATTTGAAAGAAGAAATAGTAATTATAGTTATAATTTTTCTACTTAATATTTTCTTTGGATTAAAAACATCGAGCAGTTACATGCTTAAAAAATAAAAATTATAGTAGATATTTTTTTTAAACAATCTTGTTATTAAAGACCACCAGTGTCACTCAATAAATTTCGAGTAACCAGTAATGTATAGAATCCAATGGGTAGATTTCGCGATGATTCCTTGCACAATCTCCGCGCAAGCTCAGATTGAGGCCAATCGGGGTTGCCTTCACGGTATCAGCCGTATAAGATAATTGTGACCCCTACCCTGATGGTGATAAGACTTAGTATTGTCTGCTAAAGGGGTTGAATTCGCAGGTGATATAAAGCCCGCTGCCGGATTTAGGGGAGGGCAACCGGGGCGAAAGCCCCGGGGCCTCCACAAACGGGGGGCCCCCACAATAGAGACTTCGGAAAAGAAAATCTTTCAAATTCCAACTAGTAAACATTGGTATAAAACATCTTTTCCTTTGATATTTTTTTTGCTCATTTACCTTTACCTACAGCCTACAGTACTTTGTACATCTAACATACATGATTATTTGATTATATTAATCGTAAATAACAGAAATCATTGATCTATATTTGTTCACTCCAATCAGGCAATCAGTGAAATATCAAAATCTCAAATGGCCCTGATAAGCACTTCCAATTCACTACCCATCTTGAGGGAGTATCCCAATCGCTTAATGGCTGCAGGGCCGAATTTAGGACAAGGCAGGTGGGGCTGTGGCCCAGGGGCCTCCAAAACAGCCTAAGAAATAACAATATTTCGATGGGTCAACAAGCATACAAATCCTAAGTGGCCCGGGGCCTCCACAATCCTAAATCCGGCCCTGATAAAGCCTCACATTAGGTGAGAAGAACTGGCGATTTAATATACCTAGTCAGGTCATAAATTCTGTCACATGTTTAATATAAAATAATTGAAACAAGTTTATTCATTATGTAATCATTTATATATCAAAATGAACTTAACAAAACATAGATTCTTATGACAGTAAAGTTTATTCAAAATGACCTCCGTGATTTGAAACATAGGCCTTCAATCTGCGCGGCCAGTCGTCTATCGCAGCACGAACGAGGTCCATGTCAATATCGGCGGCTGATTTAATCAAGGATGTCTTGAGTGACTTTGAGGCTTTGAGCACGCCTTTCCTCCAAGTGTTGCCATATCTTGTAATCTAACGGATTCAAATCTGGACTGGAGGAGGGCCAGTCTTCGTGCCGAATGAAGTCGATTTCACGCGCCGCCAGCCAGTCTTGTGTGCTCTTCGCTCTATGAGCTGGCGCCGAATCTTGTTGGAATACCCAGTGCCTGTTATTGAACATGGTATGAGAAAAAGGTTCCACAGGGTTCGTCAGGACTGTATTTTGATACACAACTGCATTCATTTTTACACCTTTCTCACAAAAATCTCCGTTAAGCCCCAATAAGAAACTCCCAACCATACCATGAGTGAAGATGGAAAATGACCTCGTTGGACACGCGGAATACGGTTGCTCGCTTCTTCACTACTGTGTGCGTACACCTTATCATTTTGTTTGTAGTAGCTCTCTTCTACGGTAAAAATTTTTTCATCCGAAAAAAGAATTTCCCGATATTTTTTTCCCGCGTACCGCTTCAACAAAGCGCGGCATCTCTTCAGTCTCAGGTCCATTAGACGAGCATTCAAACGATGTCCTGTTTTTCTTCGATATTCCCGAAGCCCTAAGTCTTCATTAACACCCTTTTCACCGTGGTTCTGCCTAACCCAATCTGAAGGGCCAACAGTTTCTGCTTACGTTTGGGATTTCTTTGAATTCGCGCCTTCACAGCTTTTATCACTGCTGGAGTCCTAACAGACCGAGGGCAACCACTTCTTGACCTGTCATCTACACTAGAGTCTTCATTGTATCGTTTGATGGTACGATCGAATCTTTCATTATGGTCGAATCTTTTGGTTATATTCAATTTTTTCAGTATGTCAAAAATTTTAATTGGCGCGTAACCGCAACGATGCAACGCAATAACTGCAACATCTTCTTTAAGTTATCTTTAATTCATCATATTTAAAAATGAGTAAAATTCTAAAAAGTATACATTTTTTATTTTCATGAACAATTCGAAATTCGAATTCAATAAACTTTTTTGTTGAGAGCATTCTAAAAGAAAAGTTTTTACTGTGTGACAATACTTATGACCTGACTGTGTATATATAAAACTCAAAGGTGACTGACTGACAAAGACAAGTGAACTCATTAAATCACTTTCCGAAACGTTGGATCTCGACATCAACTACCTTATTCCTGCATGTCCCAAACCACCAAAACTGTATGGGTTACCGAAAATACACAAACCGAATGCTCCGCTACGTCCGATTGTAAGCCAGATTGATTTACTAACATACCGTTAGGCTAAACACGTAGCAAAGTTACTTTCACCGCTGAGAGGTAACACAACAGCCTTTGTAAAAGATTCATACCAATTTGTCAATGAGATTAGAGATCAACGTCTCATGGATAATGAAATCATGGTCAGTTTTGAATGTTCAGTCCTTATTTACATGCCTACCAGTACGGGACTGCATTGAAATCACTAAGAAGAAGCTACTTGAAAATAATATGCCTGTAGAATATGCAGTATTACTAAAACATTGCCTTACATCTGGCTACCTGTTATGGGGGGATGACTTCTATGTACAAATGGAAGGCGTTGCGATAGGTTCCCCTGTCTCACCTGTCAGAAGATGGCTCTCAGCGTGGCACCTGTCACACCCAGGCTATATAAGCGGTACGTAGATGATACTTTCACAATCCTACACCCCAACATCCTATTCACTACTACTTTACTACCTGCCTCTAACTCCATAGTTAGAGGCAGATAGTAAACTAGCTTTTCTAGATATTTTATTAATCAGGAATCCTGACCAAAGTTTATGCCATACTGTGTATCGTAAAGTAACTCATACTGATAGGTATCTCAATGGTGACTCACACCATCACCCGAAACAATTAACTGCCGTAGGAAACTCTTTGTTTCAGAGAGCACGGGGTGTCTGTGACAAACAACACCTGGCAGCTGAACTTCAGCATGTCGAGCGAGTACTGAATGATAATAATCTGAATGTACCACGTCGCCGTCACAGTCGCGCCAAACCTAGCACAGTCGACCGACAACCTGCTATATTACCTTACATGAAAGGAGTCACTGACAAGATTGGGAGGATTCTGAAGCGTCCTTCAATCAATACTTACCTATTTCAAGCCGCCAAAGAAGATCAACCAGTTTCTACGACCGGTCAAGTGCAATATACCCTTTCAAGTTGCTGGTGTCTACAAACTTGAATGCGACTGTGGGCTCTCCTACATCGGGCAAACGAAGAGGAGTATAGGGACTCGGGTAAAGGAACATATCGCAGATATGAAACATAGGCGCGAGAATAAGTCTGCAGTGTGTGAACATGCATTAGGGAGACCAAACCATTACATTAGATTTGATAAACCACAGATCCTTGCAACTGAGCAACAATTCATTCCTAGAATAATACGCGAGGCTCAATAGCCTATCTCAATAGATTAAAAAAATATCCAAATTTCAATAGGGAAAATGGTTGGTATATACCACCAGCTTGGGAACCCATTAAATACAGGAGATAAAATCCCAACCCCGAGCACACACTGCAAGACCAACAGATACTATTAGTTCTTTTTATTTGCATAATTTAACATAAGAAGGAGATAGAAAGCCTCTCTTGAGTCTGTTTCGCCGGTTCTTCTCAGAAAGGTCTCCCAATTTTGGAACCGGTGGTAGTTACAAAAAAATAATTTTAATTAAAGTACTTTAGTAACTAAATTAAGTAATAAATTCATACATAGACAATAAAACTTTAAAAATCGAACAATGAAATAACTGAATGCTCAATAAAAGTCTTTCGAAGGTAGCTCGACAATATTAAATAAAAAATTGATTCCGACGAAGCAGCCTGTAATGGCTGCGAAACGTCAACAAATAAATAAAGTTTCGTGCATTAACCCGTGAATAACTAGTTTTATTTAATGAGTGATGTGCGTGAAAACCTAAGAAACAAATATGGTTATAGTTTGTAGTTTGGTTAGTAGATGATCTCTGCGCTTTCGGCATTTTGGCAACAAAATTTTGGTGATGTTGTGATTCTGTCGGTGAGTAAGGATCCAGGACTCAACGGAATCAGGGTAGGCAACGGTGCGTTTGATATTTTTGGTATCGCAAGCGTCTATATAAGGTAACGTCTATAAGAGGAGCTCGATGGCGCAAGAGCTTAGCGCGTTCGGCTGCGATCGTTGAAGTTAAGCAACTTTCGCAGTGGTCGATCATTGGATGAGTGACCAAAAATTTACTATCTCGAGCCCCTTCGTGTTTCGGAAGGCACGTTAAGCCGTTGGTCCCGGCTGCATCTGCAGTCGTTAGCACCCACCAATCCGCACTGGGCCCGCGTGGTGGGTCATGGCCCAATCTTCCTATTCTATCCATAGGGAAGGCCTGTGCCCCAGCAGTAGGGACATTTATAGGATGATGATGATGAAGCGAAAGGCCATGGTGGCCGTTTACCATCAGACGGGCCAAAGCAAAAGTACGTGAAAAACTTTACATGAAAAAACGATCGCCCCTTGACATTCGATGCATATAATGATTATGTAAATGGTATGACGCTTATTGCTTGTAAGCAAGGTCGTATCTTGTATGGGACGCCACTTACGTGGAAACGCTTGCTCCGTGCCATACAGGTAGTAACGCCCTTCTTTCTGAGCTATATGTTTTGATTTTGGGATTGTTTGGTGGGATCGGGAAGTGTCACTTTAGCAGTTCTGTTATTCTTGTTAAAAAAATGTGTTGTGGCGGATGTAAGTGTCTAATAATAATGTATTATTAACCACTTAGTGTTCGGGAACATGCACAAGTATTGGCAAGTGAAACAAAATAGCGGAAAGTGTCTTTCGACGTTCCCTCAAGAGGTCCACGGGGAGGTTCCAGTAAATCCCCACACTTTTACTGAAACATAGGGAAAGGGGGATTGACTTGACTGCCACTTACTTTGACTTGATTTATTACTTTGACCACGAGTGCTACAGTATAGTATTTGTAAACATTTTAACACTTGACATTATCTAAATGCACAAGCCGTGCGAAACCATTTAGGAAAAAAAAATGTTTTGATTTGATTATTAGGGGAGATGCAAATCGTGGCCTGCCATAGATTCTGATAACAATAAATATAATATTTAAAAAAGAGGGTGGTGAAAACTGGTAAATAAAACATCCAATTTATGACAAATTAAAGCTTTATTCCGTGAGCAATATTTTTTTTAAGTAGCTATCAACCCTGCGAGAAGGGTGCCCTTCTGTTAGTCCTCAAGAAGAAAATCCCTCTGGACCTGTAAAAATAATAGAAAACCTTAGGAATCAGCAAAAAAAGTGATCATTTTATATCAATTGGTGGTATATGTCTATTTGTATGCAGCAAGCATTCTATAATTGTTTGTATAAGACTGTTTGTAACCTGAATTAAAGAAATAAATAAAAAGTAAACAATTCCACTCATTATTTCTTGATAATAAAGAAAATGAAAATTTACTTAAAGAATATCAAAGAAAGAAGAATTAGTAGTCTTTAACTTTAACTACAAAAATGTTAGACACTGTTTTAAATCTTTTTGTAAGGTTTTTTTTCTTAAGCTTGTGTCAAACGCATGTCTGACTTTTTTTGTAGTAGTAAGGAAGTTTAAATTCGTAAATAGGGTAACGGATGGAAAAAACAATAGGTATTATTTTGTTGCAGTCATTCTTGTTCATATAAAATTGTTTAAGTAGGTATTTTTCTACACGTCATTTAGTTTTTTTTTTTCAAATTTTATCAACCTTTGATTACAAACTCTTGATACATAAACAGCTCAAGCTTTTGTAGACTAACCAGAGTGATTTATTTGTAGCCTAAAAAATTCAAACTTTAGTGGTTTTTCGATGTGTTCTTCGTGTAAAAATATATTGATTGTGTATTTTAAGAAATAAATAAAAAAAAATTAAGGTCTTAATTGAAAACGAAAATTTCAATCGTATTTTTTTTCGCGCCAAAATTGTTTCTTGGCAAAGCACAAATCTGTTTTTTTTTTAATTTAAATGGCATAGACCTACATTCTTGGCAGTCTTGTTCTTTTTAACTTCTTTTACTCACCCAGTTTTAGGTAAAAGCCCACCCATCCTTAGCCTACCAGGCAAGCTGCAGGAGCCTATCGAAGCCTCCGGTTGCGACCTACACTCCCATCCCGTGAACCCACCAGTGCGGACCGACTCTGCCATGTATATATACGATCTGTGGAAAGGTAAAGGTTGTGTATGTCATCATGCTTTTTGTAATGGTAAAAATTTTATAGTTATCTAAAGAAGTTTTTATTAATTAAAAAGACAACTTGACCCAGATTTCAGGATGCGGTCCTACAATCTGGGGTCCCTTAAGAGAGGCGTGAAGAAGCAGTTTTGCAGGCAGGCAAGGTGAGGATGGTTGGTGTGGCAGTTTTTAATGGCTGTACCAGCTACCTTCGCGTTTGGACTTTATCACCTCTTAACATCAGGGTACAGTCATTTGATTACCTGGCTATATCAAAAAAAAAAGACTGGAATCCTACCCTTAGTTTTCACCAACAAACAAGTCTTAAACTAGTTTTAAACAAAACTTGAAGAATACTTGTTGTGGCTGTTCATAACATTCTTTCGTTTACACTGCATAAACAACAGAACTAGTATCTTACAAGTATAAACCACTTATTTACTCCACATATTTTGCGTATTCAACAAGTTTGATGCAATTGTATTGTATAGGTACTACATGTTTTATAAGTGTGAACAAAAAATTAAGACATTGGTGTCGATTCTGGCGTGATTCTTTAAACTTAAAACTAAATTTAACATCAATCTCTCCTTTTTATTCCGTATAGAGAATGACAAGGATACACTGTTGTCAAATTTAAGCTTAGGTTTAGATAATCGTGTCAGAATTGACACCATTGTACTTATAGAATTTGTTAAATACATGTTTTTGCCTTTGGTTAAAACAAGGGATTAACAGCGTCCTTGTATGCTACTGAGATCCTTATTTATCGTGTCGAAGGGTTTTTTTTCGCGAACCCTAATTTTCTACTCTACCTTTTATTTTTATAACGCAGATAAAAAATCTTTTTACAGACGACGGCACCTTTAAGAGGCACACCGCCGTACGGACCTCACACCTGGCTCCCGCAAGTCTTACGGACCCCCCAGTGGCTGACCACCGAGGACCCCGCAACTCTTACGGGCGCTTTACGGCATAATATCCGCTAAAAAAGTCCTGCGGATACCTTATACACTGCTTTATGCGAAGCCGCGGGGTCCCCGTTTAGGGATTCTTCCGCGACTCCGCACCCAGCAGCTTCCCGGCCTCGCCGGGGCTCCACGGCAGGGGTCTCCCGAGGTATTACGGGTACCCCGCAGACGTGCGCAGGATGGCCCGCGCGTGGGGGCTGAATACGCGGCCTAGTGCCTACCGTACCGCCCCCCGTCCGCTGCGGAGGGCTACCTGATTACAAGTTACGTTGGCGACCAGACGCGCGAAGATAGGGTACGGCCAGAGTGCACTCAGATTCAGATTCAGATTCCGAAAACGAGCGCGAGAAATAAACAGTGTAGTCGAAGGGTACGGCCAGAGTGCACTCCTGATTCAGATTCAGATTCAGACTCAGAAAACAAGTGCGAGAAAAAGCAGGCAACCTGTAGTCTACTACACTGTTTATTTCTCGCGCTTGTTTTCGGAATCTGAATCTGAATCTGAGTGCACTCTGGCCGCACCCATAGCCGGTGCAGAAGTTTACCTGCGGCACAAGTGTCATCTCATCCTTACCAGCCTGCAAGTTGCTTTTTCGCGCCTCTTTTTTAAAGATCCTGGGTTGTAGCAGCGAATCAAATTCTCATCACCCTATAAATGCCCCCACTGCTGGAGCACCGGTCAGCCGGCCTTATCGCTAACTTCTTTGTCATTTATAGTGTGTCATCATCATCATCGTCAGCCTATTAATGTCCCCACTGCTGGGCCACAGGCCTTCCCTATGAACGGAATAGGAAGATTCGGCCATGACCCACCACGCGGGCGCAGTGCGGATTGGTAGGTGCTAACGACTGCAGATGCAGCCGGGACCAACGGCTTAACGTGCCTTCCGAAGCACGGAGGAGCTCGAGATAGTATTTTTTTTTGGTCACCGACCACAAAAGTTGCTTAACTTCAACGATCGCAACTGAACATTCTAACCACTTGCGCCATCGAGCTCCACAATTATATTATATGTGTGGTGCACTGCCGGATTTAGGGGAGGGCAACCGGGGCGAAAGCCCCGGGGCCTCCACAAACAGGGGGCCCCCACAATAGAGACTTCGGAAAAAAAGCTCGAAAGGTTCCGTTCGTTAACTCTAAGATTTAATTTCAGATAATTCTTGTTTTCGTTTATATTTATATGTGTTTGTTCAATACTAAGGGAATCTACTTGGTTCACAATAAATTATTTATTGAAAAACTCGACTGAAAAAAAAAAATGTTTACTTTATTTGGAAAATAATTTGGGGTGAGGGGGCCTCCGCTCCTCTGTTGCCCCGGGGCCTCTGGACCTCTAAATCCGGCCCTGGTGTAGTGTGTTACTAAAGAGAAAAGAGCATATACATCGACGAGATCCTCTTACTGGACTTATTCAGTTTTCTGAAGTGAAACTTCTTTTCGGAGGGGTGTAAATCCTATGGAAAAGATGAAACGGAAACGCGTCACGAGCGTCACATGACTATATTTATACATATACAGCGTGTTCCTGAGGTTATACACTAACTTTGGCATGTTATTCAGACTATTAAATTGATCATTTTTTACTATGGACACTTTTATGAATTCCAATTTCTTTAACATATTTTATTTTCATACAAACTAAATGCTTAGATGTAATTTATCTAATTTGAATTACAGTTTACCTGAGCTGGCAACGTCGCATTTGAAACTTTGGTTCACATGTCCTATGTGGACATGTGAACTTTTAGAAACATTTCTTGACGTCAACAATGTTTTTTAAAATTTTGATTTTTAGAAACTATGACTTAATGACCATTGACAAAGAGTTGATAGTTTTGGTTGCACAAAGTGGCAACATCTCACAGATAAAGACTCTTTCTCACTGCACAACACAATTAAGTTGGTTAAACTTAAATTACCAATAACTTAAAAACTATGCTATTTAAACTACTACTTTCCTTGTACGATATGTTTAACAAGAGCTATAGAAGTATTATTCAAATTAATGTATATATATCCTCAGGAACACGGTGTATATACGAAGAGCTGGCGAACAAAACGGTATAATTATGCGTCTGGTCAAACTACTTTTTTTACAGTCCGGAGGTTTCGGGCCCGATGAATTTGAATTTCAAATAATTTTCAAGCAAAACCACCTAAAGCAGTGTTAAAATTACTAAATTTCTAAATTAAAAACCACGACATAAGCTCACTGTAGGTATGTCATTCAGTTTTATACAGCTCCTGTAATATTTAATTTTATGTAATTATACCGTTTTGTTCGCCAGCTCCTCGTATGTGTGTGTGTGTATGTGTGTGATGCGTGCGCAGCTCTTCCCGATGAGCATGAAAGCTGCAGATCAACTCGGAAAAGGCTGAAACGCTATGAGCGTCACACGCGACGATATATATACATATATATGAGTGATGTGTGCGCTGCTCCATTCCCTTAGGCCTTATGCACCGCCTAACCTAAGGTGGAGGTTACTTCACCAAATGGGCGCTCCAATTCGAGAGAAAAAACCGCTATACCATACCTCTCTTAAAGATAGATTCCTCTCTAGATTAACTTTTTATAATCGATACAAACCTTCCAATCAACGTGATCTTCGCTCGTGCAGAAATCTTACACTACAAATCCCCGTTAATCATTCTGGCTTTGGATCCAAATCGTTCACTATTACTGCCATACGCCTGTGGAATGCTCTACCACTAAGCATACGTAGTACTCACAATAAGTTTGAGTTCAAAAAACTTGTGCGTGAACACTACCTGACTACGTGATATTTCCCTATAGTTTGCATCGATATATATTATATTTATTGTATTTTATGTATGGTATGCATATGTATATATATATATATTTATATGTGTATGTTTATGTATGGTTATATGAGTATTTTATATATGTGTATCACTTTGTATTTAAGTATTATTATTTTATTGCTGTTATTTTGATATTGTTCATTTTATTTAATTTTTAGCAACTTTGCTCTATCGCCATACTAGTTGTCTCCAACAATCATACTGGTTGACTGGTAGAGAATGCCTATGGCATTAAGTCCGCCGTTTGCTTATGTTTGGCAATAAAGTTTAAATAAATAAATAAATAAACCTTTGATGATCGCAAACTATGTTCAGGTTACATCCGGGCATGATGTTTCCTCCGTTGGGATAGAAGTCCACATGACCCAGCGGATCTTTCCATCCGTTGACCCCAGCACTGGTGTGAATGACTTCGACGTAGCTCGCGTCGTTGGGGCTCAGGATCTCGTCGATCTCCCATCTGGACGAAGGGTCTAAACCTGTATAAGGAAGATAGATAGATAGATTAACACTTTATTATAACACCAAATACATAAACTCAACAAAAGCATTATAATTTCTTCCAGACAACCGTGAGTATAAAAAGTTATACAAAGGCTGTCGGTTGGGGTGTTATATGGCTTGGAGTAAATAGTCACATCTGTACATACAACTTTACATAAAACCGAAGTATTCTAATAGAAAAATACATTTAATAACATATATACTTACATACATACATACACACACATACACATAACCACACAAAGGAAGAAGTGGAAGATTAGATTTTATAAAGTTTCCTGAAGCTGAGACAATTCGAAGACCTTCTTTATGGCTCCTTAGATAGATCCAAGTTGTTTGTCTACAAAACTTCGCACAACCTGCCTTATTAGTATATTCTTTTCAGCTTTATATTTTTTCCAGCTCATTTGGTTCTCGGGAAGAAATCGCTGATTTGCGATAAGACCGCCCGCCCTTTGTACAACTGTAATTGTTTTTGCCATGTTTCGTACATAGCTATGGTAATTTCTTACTCCCCCATCACATAATCCTCTCGTCACACGTTGGCCTATATACTCAACCGTCACATAATCCTCTCGTCACACGTTGGCCTATAAACTCACCCGTCACATAATCCTCTCGTCACACATTGGCCTATATACTCAGCCGTCACATAAGCCTCCCATTACATAACTATAGTCCTTTCTTACTCACCCGTCACATAAGCCACGTCCCCTTGTACGTGTCGGGCCACAATGCCGGCCGTGTGTCCTCCCACACTGAACCCTAGGATGTGGTACTGGGAAGCGGTGGCTCCAGTTACTGAATTCAACCAGTCGATGAAACGGGCTACTGCGCGACCTAGGAAGTAGATTTATATTTTTTGAGTTTCTAATCTTGTAAATGCTCCAAAACTTTATTATTTAGTCATTTTGACAACGGTGTTTTTTCATACGAGGCGCAACAAATTGCCCGCTCCACCTGATGTTAAGTGTAAGATTTTAGAATAGAATAGAATAGAATACAAATATTTTTATCGCTCTCACAGTAACACATAGTTCATAGAATGTACTATGCGATATGACATCGTGAAGAGCAAATGGATGTGGCTCAGCATGAACTGTTACGTCTCGGGCAGCGCTATTTTTCAGCTGCACCCACTTCTCTTTAGATGAAAAGCTAGACATGCAAAATAGACCCAATAAAAGTAGGTGGTAATCTGACAGTCAGAATGTGTGCGTGTGTGCGCGCGCGCGCGTGTCACGTGCGTGTGTGTACGTGTGTGTACGGTTTGTGTATGTGTATATGTGTGTACTGTTATTGTATGTGTATGCACGTGAGAGCGGGTATATACAAGTGGATATGTTTATGCAGGTGCCAAATCCATACACTGTGAAAATACCAAATTTTGATATTTAGAAATATTCTTTAAGGGGTATTAATATCCAGTAACGGGTTATATTTTCTACAGCAAGCTGACGTTTCATTAAAGCAATTGTGTATTTATTTTTAAAGCATTTTACAGTAATTTTTTTTTCATTGGTGGTGGAAGATCATTCCAAATGCTTGCCGCGTAGAATCTGAAAGTCCCTCAGTATCACTTTGATTAGGTACCTTTAAATTATTTTGTAAGATTTCCCACAAGCTACTCAGTGCATTGTCTTTAGATCAGGTAAGCTTTTCAAATAAATATTCAGGATTTTGTTAAAATAAACTTTTGGGCTAATACAAGATTTCCTTACTGTCTAAATCACAAATGGAAAACGAATGTTCTACTGAGCGGGTGTGGCGTTAATAATAATAATTTCTTTATTTGCTTAAAACACAATATAAAAAGATCTTACAATAGGTATAATAAAGTGCACATGTTTTGGTAAATTATTGTAGCATGCAAATTACAAAGCCTTAGTCAATATAGGTAATTCTTTTATACTGTAAAAATCGTGTTTTCACAGAGCCTAAAGATTTTTTTTTTCATAAATAAAATATAATTCAACTAATTCTATGCTCCTATGTCTTCCTTTTGGCGGTAACTTGCGTTTCAAAGAAACTAGAAGCCCTCAAAACGGACAAAAATAATCAATTTTTTAACACAACTAAAGACGTCCAGTGTGGAGATTCAATAAGCATTTACAAAAAAAAACAAAAGGGCTAAAATCTCTAAATATAATTTCTATACATACTTATATCTACCTAACTAGTGGCCCGCCCTCGCTTCGCTTCGGTGTAGAGCTGAAGTGTAGACTACAGTTTTTGTTCTCAGGCTTGTATTATACACAATGACATTCATCAATGATTCTTCTTATACCTGCATGCAAAGTCTCAGCCCGATCGGTTTAAAATTGACAAAGTTTCATACAAAGTTTCATTCCCTATTTTATCCCCTTGGGGGTAGAATTGATCAAAATCATTTCTTAGCGGATGCCTACGTCATAACATCTACCTGCATGCCAAATTTCAGCCCGATCCGTCCAGTGGTTTGGACTGTGCATTGATAGATCACTATGTCAGTCAGTCGGTCACCTTTGAGTTTTATATATATATATATATAGATTTTCGAGGAGGAAATCGTCGAGAGCCAAACCTCGAATTCTGCAATTTTCAGCGTTAGCTACTGTTGTCCCCATCGCACGGTATTTGCCAATGCGCGACAGCAATACTTTCATCATATACCTATTTCCCAAATGTCTCTTAGCCAGGGGCGGTTTACGAAAACGGGCGCCCTAGGCCTGACGAAATTAGCGCCCCCTCTCCCCTCTCCATAAAATAGTTGAAAAAGCACAGGCTAGAATAAATGATTTTTATACACTCCCGCTCAAAATTATGGGTTCACGTCTCGAAATTTTCAGCTTCGGTATAAGTTCCATATCTTGGTGGAAAAAGGTCGTAAGAGAATTTAATGAGCACCGTTTTGAAGGGGACAGTTTTAGCTTCACTTTGCCATTTTTTATAATTTTTTACAATTTTTTTATAGTCCCCACGCGCTTTTGAACATGGCAGTTTTTCGATGTTTTTTTGTCCTCTGGGAATGGGCTGTCTGGCTGTTAAAAAATTTTCCTTGCAATTTTATCCATCGCAGTTTGAAAGAGGATATTAAACACTGCATTTTCGTTTTTGAAAAAGTATCGTGGGATTTTTTTTACCAAAAATATTCTAATTTTTGACAAAAATTGATAATTTTATTCAATTCGGCGTATCTTGAAAACGGCGGGTGATCGAAGAAAATAGCAAGAGGGTGAAAAGTTGCAAAAGATCATGATGGACATGGTAGATTTATTTCAGATTTTTTTTCCGACATTTGTTTTTCCATACTCGTGGAGTCGAAATGATTTTAATTTTCCCATGTTTCTTTATTTTTTCTAAACGGCTGAGGCATTGCTTTTATTGGTTTCATCTTCATCTTGACGTAATTTGAACTAAAAATTAATTTTTTTAAATGAAAAAAACGTACAAAAAATTGTGCGAAATTTGATTTTTAGTAAAAATTACGTCAAGATGGTTATAAAACCAATAAAAGAAATGCCTGCGCCGTCTAAAAAAAAGAAAAAATCATGAGAAAATTTAAATCATTTCGACTGCAAGAGTATGAAAAAACAAATGTCGGAAAAAAAATCTGAAATAAATCTACAAGGTCCATCATGATCTATTGCAACTTTTCACCCCCTTGCTATTTTCTTCGATTACCCGCTGTTTTCAAGATACGCCGAATTGAATAAAATTATCAATTTTTGTCGAAAATTAGAATATTTTTGGTAAAAAAAATCGCACGATACTTTTTCAAAAACAAAAATGCAGTGTTTAATATCCTCTTTGAAACTGCGATGAATGAAATTGCAAGGAAATTTTTTTAACAGCCAGACAGCCCGTTTCCAGAAGGCAAAAAAACATCGAAAAACTGCCGTGTTCAAAAGCGCGTGGGGACTATAAAAAAAATTGTAAAAAATTATAAAAAATGGCAAAGTGAAGCTAAAACTGTCCCCTTCAAAACGGTGCTCATTAAATTCTCTTACGACCTTTTTCCACCAAGATATGGAACTTATACCGAAGCTGAAAATTTCGAGAAGTGAACCCATACTTTTGAGCGGGAGTGTATTTCAAAAATAATTTAACGGAAACAGAATTTCAATCATACATATATTATGTAGGTTTGTGGGTAGGAATGGAGCACATATATATTTTATATTGGCGATATTGACGTTTGAGTGGACCCGATTAAAACGTTCGCTTTCTCGCTTTTAATCTTTCAAATTTATCGGCCCGTGGCGCCCCCTTCTGCCACGGCGCCCTAGGCTCGGGCCTAGCGGGCCTAGTGCATAAACCGCCCCTGCTCTCAGCTCGCGTCCGCTCTAAGTATTGATGTATAACAACTTACCGACTTGTATTCCATTAAGGCCCCAGTGCGAGCCACGGCTCCAATCCACCACTATAACGTTGACATCTTCACCAGCCAAGAATGCTAAATCCAGAAACAAAACAAACAATAGGCTGTACTTCCGGCCAAAGTGACATTATATTGTATTGTTTGACGTTTTAATGACAATCGTGTGAGGAGTGAATGTAGAGGTATTCCAGGCGGATGGCATCTCCCCACGGGGGGAGTCTCCTCTCCGTCTGGAGCCTCTAGACCACTGTAGCCTGAGGGGGAGACATCGCTGCTTTCAAGCAATCTGACATTGGAGTCACACACACATTGCGCGTATCATGAGCCGTATACTTTGCGTGATTTATTTGGATTGCTCTATCTAGATAAGCGTTTATATAATCAAAGCTACCAATCCAAGGCGAATCAGAAGAGCTCGATGGCGCAAGTGGATAGCGCGTTCGGCTGTGATCGTTAAAGTTAAGCAACTTTCGCAGTGGTCGATCATCGGATGGGTGACCAAAAATTTACTATCTCGAGCTCCTCTATGCTTCGGAAGGCACGTACAGCCGTTGATCCAGGCTGCATCTGCAGTCGTTAGCACCACTCCGCACTGGACCTGCGTGGTGGGTCATGGCCCAATGTCCTATCATCGATAGGGAAGATCGAACCCCAGCAGTGGGGACATGAATAGGCTGATGATGATGACCAATGAAAGAAGTAACAGAATAATCTCTCACCAGGTACAAGCGCTTGGTTGGAGCCAGCAGTGCCCGAACCCAGGAAACCGTGAATGAGCACTATTACCCTCTTCGTAGGGTCGAAATTCGTAAGCGACAATATCTCCCTGTTGCCCAGCACAATGGGCTGGCTGAGATTGGGGTTATCCCTGCAAATAAAGATAAATAAATAGTTTTTAAGAACTGTTGAAAATAATGTCTATTTAAACTTAGACTTTAGAAACTTAGGGAGGTTTATTTATGGTCCAAGATCCCAAAGCCGCCAGATCTTACTTATTTTCTGATGATCAAATGGATAATCAATGAAATGACAATGAACTTATACCTTTAAATCTGCTCGCTAACTTGTGTGTTGGGTCAATTTTCAGATATGGGGCCATTTATTACGTAAGACGATTTAGGGGCGGAGGGGGTCACCATGTCTTATTTTTCTTACAAGGGGGTGGGAGGGAGTCTCGATAGTCCTTACTTAAGGTGTCACTCACGATTTATATCGTCCATAAATTACGTGAGGTGTTTTTTTGAATTTTCTGTCCCCCCCTACCCCTGGTGAGATGTCGTGAGATTTTATTCAACCCCCTCCCCCAACAACCTATCTCACGTGAGATTTTTCAAAATATGGGTTTCTTACGTAAACGCGTTGAATTGTTATTGTAAAAAGAAAAAAATCCTTCGTGCTTTATTTACGAGTAGTTAAGACTAGTTATCAATATTGCTGAGAGTTAACGATTACGCTTAAGATTAAATCATAAGCATGTACAATCTGGATTAAATGGACCAAAATAGTATATTTCTTTTTTGTTTCAATCAAAAAAAATTGCGTGATATTTGCCGAGACCCCCCCCCCCCCTCTCTCTAACGTAAGATTAGATGAGATTTGACTCGACCCCCTACCCCCCTCAAACATCTCACGTAATTTATGGACGACCCCTTACCTACCTCGTGAAAAGATGGTACTGGTTATCAACATCGGGGTTGAATCGCGCGCTCTTCACCAGATCGCTGACCTTCACCCAGGAGTCCACCAGGTGTAGCGTGCCGTCTTCCGCCTCGGCGTAATTGTACCTGATGTCGTCTGGAACCAGCTTCCTGATGACAGGGTCTTGTACTGGTACAGCTGAGAACAACGGATATGAGTGATAAAGTTTAAAATAATGTGAACTCTGAAAAGCATCCATTTCTTTTTTTGGCAGTAGTGTATAAATTAAAATGAAAAAAGCCCTGCCTAATGACGAACTAAATAAATAAACTAAATAAACTTTTTTGTCGGCCAAAATAGATCTCCTACAACTGCGTCGGGTAAGGCACACGAGGTATTTATAGTACGCGTACAAAAAGTCCCTCGAACAACAGAGGATACTGAGAGACCGGGCAGGTCAAAAGTACACGAGTGTCCCTGAAAAAATAGAACTTTTTTATTAGATAGGTCCGACAAATGACTCCACCCCACCTGATGTTAAGTGAAGGTGAAGTCCAGACGCGAAGATAGCTGATACAGCAGAGTTATACCTGAAATACCAGCTATCCTCACCCTGCCGGCCTGCATGTTGCTTCTTCACGCCTCTTTTAAAGGATACCAGATTGTAAGAGAGAGGGGAACACGTGAGCGGACAGAGCATTCCATTATGGATAGTGCGACAAAGAAATGAATCACCAAATTTCCTTGTACGCGTTGGAATTGGGGCCACAGTTAGACGGTGACAACGTAAGCCAGCGCGCGTGGTCCTCTGAAGGAAAGGGGAAGGTGGAATAAGAGCGAATAACTCCTCAGAATACTTGCCGTGGAACAGACGATAGACCGCGCTTACTGACTTAGCATGTAACGGCGTAGTCAGTTGCTCGTTCGTGAAAAAATGCCGCACCTTGTTCAGGAATCCGAGTTTTCGTGAGGCCGTTTTTATCATACTTTCGATGTAATTATTTGGATTTAATTGATTAGATTTAGCACACAATACTAGATGGCGGCGCGTGAAATCGACTTCATCCGTCCAGATTTGAGTAAATATTTTTATCTACACTCATGTCGAAATATTCGAATTAGGAATTAAAATATGGTTTTATAAAGACGTGCTTTATAAACGCACATAGGTACATCATTAAAATACACTTTTCTTTTTTAATTAAATTATGCCATGGTATTAGGCTGTATGTGAAAAAAGAGACGCACGCATTCGTAATTGGAACATAATTTCCCGCGCTTCCCAACAATTATCTGCTGACCAATCAATATTAAAATATCAATCATTGAGCTGCTAACCGTGTTTTGTTTGCAGGGTTTCAGAAACTTTTTGCAAAATACTTTTATGTTACCGATCTACTTAGTTTAATTTCAATTATTCCTATAAGTCTTCACCCTTTCTCTTCATAACTAGTGTATGCAACATGCAACTAAATATAATTTAGGTATGAAAACACTCGAGTCAGTCATACTGCGACTGAATGCGATAGTAGGTTGACTCGAGTGTTTTCATACCTAAAATATAAAATAAACTACTATAATTTTTACGTAATCAAGATTGTTTACAAATTTTAATAATCATTACGTTATCTTCATTATCAGTGGTCACGTGTCAATGGGCAATTGGTCTTCATCAAGATTAATCAACATAATTTCATTATCAACATAACCAATGTTATTGATTACAGAATAGTTTAGCTCGCGCCAATAAAAAACAAATCGCACGCAAATAACGACGCAAGACATTCTGTCCCTCTCGCACATGCTACCTAAGAAGTGTACGAAAGCGGCACAATGTCTTGGGTGCGTCGCTATTTTGTTTCTTTAAGGACGCGAGTTTTTTTAAAGAGTTTTAAACAATAATATAAAAATAACTTAATTAAACGTACGCGCAACCACGGTAATCTCAATAAATTTGATCAGTGTTATTATTGTTTCTTTGTAAATATGTTTTATTTTTTCCGGTGGCGCCTATTATGACCTATCACCGCCTCGTGACCTACCCTTGGCCATGGGTGGCAATGGCCTTTTTGAGCCTAGGGTAAATAATTATACGCCCCTGGCTTGGGACTCAAAGCATTTAAACCCCCAAAGGGTAGGTACTTACGTGCTTGGTAATTTAGGTAGACCGCTTAACTGAGTTCTTGCCTGCAGGGTATAGCTGCGGGCGGCAGGCACATTTTCTAGTCAAAATTACAAGCGCCTGCCGCCCGCACCTCTCACGGTCCCCGTTCTCGTCCTCCCCCCATACCCTGTACCCCGCAGGCGAGGTCTCAGTTAAGCGGTTTACCTTTAGTGGAAAACAGCCCTACATAATAATACAATAGTAAGAGTGAACTACGAGTATATTGAAAATTGCATTCGAGCTTGATACGGGAACACGAGCCGCAGTCGATTTTTTTATATTAAAAGGGTGGCAAGCAAGCATATGGCCCGTCTCATGGTAAGCGGCCACCATAGCCTATTGTATACACGCTTACGATAGGTACTAACAACACCACTCGCGCAGTGACTTATTCTGTCCCAAAAAATTGTAAAATAAAAACTTTTTAACAAAAATCTAAAACCGCCAAAAGTAAAAAATAACAAACCTTATTTATCTTCAGTCAAATTAATATTTGAAGTGGGCCATGCAATTCTAATAGATCGGAGTTCCCAATTTCTACTGGGGTTGGCCTGGATTGGCTGGCAAGGTTTAATTATAATGTAAAAAAGTTTTTTATTAAGAAATATTAAAGAGGAAACGCGGTTCAGGGTAGTTGCCTATACCATAACTTAGTTGAAGTTGTATAATATAAAAAAATTTTTTTTTTTAACAAAAAACAGTTCCAACATAACTTTACTGGTTTTGTTTTAAATTGACTTCAAAAAGAAGGAGATTTTGAATTCGTCCGTATCTAATGCTAATCATGAAGTCGGTTTAAGGTTTTGTTATTTTTTTTTAACTTAAATGTAATTTATGTATCTAAGTATCTACCTGACACAGCCGCTAAAGTACACAGCAAAATTAAAACACGCGCCATCTTTGATAGTTTTGAATGTCGCTATCTTTTACCAGAAAACACAAAACACTGTATTTATATGGCGCTATATCTGTATATCTATCTATCAATGTTAATCTATCCGATACATCACCTAAGTTGCACCAAAAAATTTTAATTAGAATTTTTTTTTAATCTATACATATAATAAAATGGTAGGAAAATCAAAACTGTACATTGAATATTTTTTTAAAGAATACTTGGGGTGTGATTTACAATCAATACCGAAGCCAATAATATAATCTTTAGAATTTTTGTCTGTTTGTCTGTATGTATGTTGGGGATAAACTCAAAAAGTAATGCATGGATTTACTTCAAATTTGGCACGAGTATTATTAAGATGTCGGGTCAACATATAGGCTACATATTATCATGAAACTCCACCCCTAAGGGGGTAATACGGGGGTTGGAAGTTTGTATGAAAGTCCTATGTTTTTTAAGTAAGAGACTTCAAATGAACATGTATGCTCTATAGATGGTATAGAGGTGTACTAATAATGTATCTTTAGAAATAAACCCCCTATGGGGTCAAAAAGTATGTGCAAATAACTCCATGCGTACGAAGTCGCGGGCGGCCGCTAGTGCATAATAAACAAATAAAACTGCTTAAGTTAATCAAGCAAGACCAATTAATTATGAGCTTTACTATATTTGATTCGAGATACTATAATCGCTTGAATGAATCTGATATGGATTCGCGCGTGAAAATTTTACAGACTAGCAAGCACTGCTGATGTTAAGCGGTGTTATGACATGTTGCTTATTGTACTTATTATATAAACATACGCGATTAGGTATAGATAAATGATGTGACGACAAATTGAGTTACCCCTATGAACTCATTTTATCTAGGGCAGCCTGTACTGATGTTGGCCCTCCCACAATAATTAGCTCTCTTGCATTAAGATAATAATAAAATATAAAAAATAATAATAAGTGAAATAGTGAACACGATATCTTTTTATTATTCTTTAAAGGCAAATCTTCAGTGGAGATTTGAGTTCTACAAATGGTCAAAAAATTTTTTTTTAATCAAAGTTTGTTTGTCGCTTATTCGTACATACTGCGAAAAGGCAGTTTTAATGAAGTCGTTAAGGGATAGTTAGATGTTTTTAAACACGTTTTTTTATGTATATTTTTATATGTAACTTAATTATCCATTTTATTTTTTATAGCGAGGTAGCCAAATGACTCTACCCAACCTGATGTTAAGTGGCGATAAAGTCCAAACGCGAAGATAGCTGGTACAGCAGTTATAAACTGCTACACCAACCATCCTCACCTAGCCGGCAGTATTGACGTAATTAGTAAATTATAAGTAATGCTTAGGTGAAAATTGTGTTTTAGCAGAGATTTACCTAAATTACAACAAAACATCAAAGTTATGGTGTGCCATTCTGTAATCTAAGTGCAAAAATCTCTATTCTTTATGCCATTGACTCTACATTTAAAACTTTTTCTGTTGATTTTGAAATATTTTAATACATAGGTATTAATGTTGAGCATTTTAAAGGTAGTTTTATTTTGATACTTAACCCCTATTTAATAGCATTGAATGGGACCATATATATATAGTCAATAGAAAACTAATAATGAATTTACTACAGACGAACAACTAAAGAATTCTTTTAGAAGATTATTTTCAGGAAGGTGCATTTGTATCTGCACATACTGCTTACCAGTTTAAAAATTCGATTTATTAAATTAATTTGACTTAAATGCATATAATCCGAGTTGGCGTAATCCCAAACTACACTAAGCTAAACCTAAAATAACTGCACTCTTTTTCAGGTTTTTTACTTGTAGTTCGAAAACGGTAAGTTCGACGATAAATGCTATTATATTCAAATTAAAGGGAATAAAATTCTTTGTCGAATGAGTATCTTAAACTTCGTTTTAGTGGTACAGCCGAAATCAAAAGTTAGAAAACGGGAAAATTTCTTACTTTAGTTTCAACTTATTTTGCGACTCTCCATACCAAATATCTTTAAAATAGATTATAAATTTTGCAAATGCCTTTTTTATATTATTGGCTTGTCTTCTATGTTTTTCGTTTATTTTGATGAATAGTTCTTATTTTTTATTTTAGGGCATATTTTGCACGCCTCACAACGTAACGACGCGACGTAAGCGTGTGGGAGTGCTTCACTCTCGATAGACCGCTATGTGACGATTTTACAATATACACAGTCAGGTCATAAGTATTGTTACACAGTAAAAACTTTTCTTTTAGAATGCTGGCCACAAAAAAGTTTATTGAATTCGAATTTCGAATTGTTCATGAAAATAAAAATGTACACTTTTTAGAATTTTACTCATTTTTAAATATGGAGTGGACGCTTAAAGAGTCCCGTGTTGCAGTTATTGCGTTGTATCATTGCGGTTACGCGCGAATTAAATTTTTTGACATACTGAAAATTTTGAATACAACCAAAAGATTCGTTTATCGTACTATCAAACGATACAATGAAGACTCTAGTATAGATCGATGTAACCACATGAGTGCAATAAATTGAATTGAATTGAATTGAATAGATGACAGGTCAAGAAGTGGTCGCCCTCGGTCTGTTAGGACTCCAGCAGTGATAAAAGCTGTGAAGGCGCGAATTCAATAAAATCCCAAAAGTAAGCAGAAACTGTTGGCCGGATGGAGTTAAGCAGAACCATGGTGAAAATGGTGTTAAATGCTTAGATTAAAACAAAAAGGGTAGATACGGCACTAGCCTCACAAAAGTGATCCGCACCAACTGTGGTCCACGCTTAGATTAAAACAGAAAGGGTAGATACGGTACGCTCATACTTGCATCAAACAAAAACTGATCCCACTGCATTACCGACCCGAACGAAACAGCACGTTAAGGCACTTTGCAGACGACGGGGCGGGGCGGGCTTTTTGTCCGCGAAGCAATAAAGACCGTGTCTGCCTGTGGCTGCCCGCGCCGCGTACACAAAGCACACGACGGGCAGAGGCGGTCAGTTCAGGACGTTCGTTCTAATAAATAGTCCATCACTAATAAGCGCGTGGCGCGGACTGAGCTGACCGCCCCGCACCGCCCCGTCTGCGTTACTGCATATAAACTGGTTTGTATGATCCACGGCGGGCAGCCGCGGACATGCCGCGCCGCCACTGCCCGCCGGGCACCCAAGGCGCGGTCTTTTTGCCCTCTGTGTGCGTTTGAAGTATAGGATTCACTTTGTGCTATTATTCGCGGCGAAATTGACCGGCCCGCCCCGCCCCGTCGTCTGCAAAGCGCCTAAGTTTCAACGGCAGCACGAACGAGACGGCGAGATCCGCGTCACTGCACTAACTATAATACTACTACACTACACTAAAAATAGCGAAAACAGTAAATTTTTAGTAACATCATATAATAAAAAATCTTTTTGTAAATTTTAAAGTTACTACCGCTTTTCTCTTGAACGCGTAGAGGTATTAAATTGAGTTTGTACGTAACCCTCGGGGCGCGAGTCCGACTCGCACTTGGCCGGTTTATTTTGAACACAGGTTGCACATTAGCATCTCTCCAAGATAAATCACAGTAAATTAACAATACTTTTAGTGGTGTTGTGTTTCTGTCGGTTAGTAAGGTTACAGGACTCCACGGGGTAGGGGATTGTGTCAGAGTAGGCAGGCAACGGTGCGAGTGATATTTTTCCTTAGAGTACCTAGATTTCAGGTACTCTGGAGCACGTGGATCGTATTAAAGGTTAAAAAGCATGCAAAGTAATCTGAGGTTTCTTCGGTCACTAATAGGCAACCAGTTAGGTTGTTTTCTAAAAGAAGAGATGTGGTCGTATTTACGTAACCCGAAGACGAAGCGAATGCCGCTGTTGAGCAAACGATCCAATTTGATAAGCAGAATTTGATTGATGTCAGAATAGCAGATGTCAGCGTAGTCGAGGATGGGAATAATAAGAGCCTGAACGAGAGCGACTTTGGTACTGGAAGGGAGAAAGTGTTTTAGGCGATATAGTGCTCGAAGTGTGTTAATTGCCCTGCGACTAATCACATTAACATGTCGGCATTTCTACCAATGACAATGACTTATCTTGACATATACACAAACGACTTGGCTTCGGCCTTACTGAAAAAACACAAAAGAAGACAATATTATAAAAAGAAAAACGCTAAGAAAGAAGTAGAAGTACTTTGAAGACAAGATACCTAAAATAAGACTTAGCTCCGGCTACAAAAAAGAAGAAATACAACTTATTACTGCTTAAATATTATATACAGCATGTATAATTCTGAAATATTAAACTTAAGAATTGGCTGTATGGGCACAGTACCCTTTGCCTTCCCAGAATGGGAAAAGGAAAAAAAAAATTAACATGTCGGCTTAAACAAATCGGATCATTTTTTGACGTATAGAGCCTCGATGACACGGGGCGAGTTTACAAGCGACAAATCAGCGAGTTCGCTAGCAGCTTGTAAAGTCGCCCTGTGTCATCGAGTAGCAGATGGTAAAAAGCCGAAACTCGCTGCCTTGTAGCTTGTAACTCGCCCCGTGTCATCGAGGTTTAAGCGTATACTTAAATTTACATAGAGTTCGAAATTTATGACATAGGAGGAGATTAGATGTCTAAACAGGCGGGCTTTCCAAATCAAATATCCTCCTAATATTATAAATGTGAAAGTTTGTTACACAATCACGAATAAACTACTGGACGGATTTGGGTGAAATTTGATACGCACAGAGTTTATGATCGGGATCGAGACATAGGATAGTTTTTATCCCGGAAAAAAATTGAGTTCCTATAGGATTCTTAAAAAAACTAAAGATTACGCGGACTTAGTCGCGGGCGGTCGCTTGTTAGGTAATTAAAACACGTGCCTTTAATCATCTTAATTATGTTTTGTACAGATTAATTTAATAGTATGTTAGTACTTATGACCCCGGCACGCGCTATCATACTATTAAACTAAAATATCACTCGATTCAATAACTAAGGCACATCAATTATTTACGTCAGCTCAGTAC